ATGTTGGATCCGATCCTTCGATGACTTTGCCACCTATTCGGTGCAACAACTCTCGCTCGAGCAATGTGGTCTCATCTCGGAGAGGCGTGTGCTTCACGCATAGCGTCGATCATTGCTAAGATACTATCAGTGGGCTACAATGATGACAACCGAGCTCTCGGGTATCCGGGAACTGCACACTTTGATCGGTGCGTTTCACCTCTTGGAAGATATGTTGAACGCTGCCGTCCGGACAGATCCGATGCTGATGTCTTCCAAGTTGCCTCGACAACTCTCGCAACGATGCTTGGCGCGTTCGCAAAGAGACACAACCAAGAACAGAAATACTTTTAGACGTGTACAAACACATCGGAGAATAGTAGTAGGCATATTGGGTCGCTCTGCACACGTCCATACTAAAGCTTACAAACTTTTAGCTCTCTCTCTCTATCGTTCATTTAATTTTGCTCTAGGTACAATGAACTGCTCCAAGTCGAATCAAAATGTAAGCGTACAACCCTTTTGGCAAGCGATGCAACCGACACCTTCGCGTGACCGGATGGTTTTGGTTCGACTGATATTATGTTCATTTCCTCTGTCAGGAGACTTTGTCTCTTCACGTGAGCCAACTGAGAGCAGCCAATCAATGGTCAACGCCGGCTTCGTCAACTCCGCCGATGAAACGCACAACACCTCCATAAGTGCAAATGCGGCGGCAGTGATAGCTTGCAAACCGATTCGGTATCTCCACCGCATTTGCGTTTATGGAGATAGACGCAAATGCGGTGGCAATGATAACCTGCAAACCGAATATGACATGTACACCAGAGCCACGGTCGCAGTACTGAACGAAACCACGAAGGCTATGGAAGTGGTGGCAAACTGGGTGAACCGTCACCGCTTGGCTCGTTTTGATCGATTGGCAGCGGCAGGCGTCTGAATATTTTTGGGATTGTTACGTCGGATTATTACGTCGGCAAGTTGCAAGCATCCTGACAGAAGAAATGAACATAATATCAGTCGAACCAAAACCATCCGGTCACGCGAAGGTGTCGGTCGCATCGCTTGCCAAAAGGGTTGTACGCTTACATTTTGATTCGACTTGGAGCAGTTCATTGTACCTAGAGCAAAATTAAATGAACGATAGAGAGAGAGAGCTAAAAGTTTGTAAGCTTTAGTAAGGACGTGTACAGAGCGACCCAATATGCCTACTACTATTCTCCGATGTGTTTGTACACGTCTAAAAGTATTTCTGTTCTGGGTTGTGTCTCTTTGCGAACGCGCCAAGCATCGTTGCGAGAGTTGTCGAGGCAACTTGGAAGACATCAGCATCGGGTCTGTCCGGACGGCAGCGTTCAACATATCTTCCAAGAGGTGAAACGCACCGATCAAAGTGTGCAGTTCCCGGATACCCGAGAGCTCGGTTGTCATCATTGTAGCCCACTGATAGTATCTTAGCAATGATCGACGCTATGCGTGAAGCACACGCCTCTCCGAGATGAGACCACATTGATTGAGCGAGAGTTGTTGCACCGAATAGGTGGCAAAGTCATCGAAGGATCGGATCTAGACCGTCTTCGATGGCGTGGGTAGATGGAGGTTGGACGTGATAACTTGTAGGTAGGCATACATATAGATTCAGCGGTCCCATCACAACTACAATGAAGTTCACTGCCGTCCTCGCTGCTGCCGTCCTCGCTATAACAAGTGACGCATCTAAAAAATGAACGAGGGACGCGGACACAAACAGATTCAGCAGCCATCACGAGATCACAGACAATTTTCAACGCTTCACGCGGGGCATTCGCCTGAAAGCCATTCTCTAAGCCAACAAGCATTAGCTTTCTATCTTTACGTCGACATATCGCAATAAATAATTGGGGACAACAATGATGTTGGGGATGTCAAGAGCTTGTCTGAGTTGCGACAAAGTATGGGCTCTGGCTATCACCGATGTCACCACAATGGAACCGAAGAAAGACCGCGATGATTGCGTGGCGCAGCCATGTCCCACTAAACAAAGCGTCAGTGATCGATCGATGGTGTGTGTGTGGCCTTTGTGCAGTTGGTGTGGTGCAGCTGTAATCGTGGGCTGTCAAGTCGCTGTTCATGGAGCTATCATCGTGCATTCGGTCAACATTAGACTGGCAAGCACAAAATTTGTGAAGAACGAAGATTGATCGTCCACCGCGTCCTGTGTCGAAAAGTCAATGGACCGAAGGTAGAGGTTGCAGTCACTGGTAGCAGTATGCGATGAAAGTCTACGCTACCAATAGGAAGATTGCGCGAATGCTTCTCGAGACGAGCGCTAACGTTGCTCTCGGACTTTATAACGTTCGCGAGGATGTTATAAGCATCGGACCGTCGTCGAAACTGTTTGCCATCGTGCCATTGATGTCAGCAAGCGTATTCACACTGCTTCAGCCAACTTCTACGGCAACCCGCTGCATGACCGAAAACTTTGCGGGACATATCGAGGTTCAGCACGGCTTCGTGCTTACTCGAATCATTCGATGCATGTTGGCCATTCCAATCTTCGGACGTTCGACCTCGAGATTTTGAGACATCTAGTGGGGATGCAAAAAAGGAGACAGCGACCAACGTCATCTTTTGTGCGCTACCAAACGTTCCGCTCCACCAGAAGTCTTCGGTATAGCTGAAAGCGATAAGCAGAACACTCCGATAGGATCCCGCTTCGAGACTCCTGTAGTTGCTCAACTTGCGAGAACTGTCGTCATGGCAAATGAGCTACCAAGCTATGGTTTAAGTCCCGCGAGCGATGTCGATGGTGGGCACGGCAGTCACTTACAAACGCTTCAGTAGTCATCACCAGAGCTAGCAAATGCCTGAGCCTTGTATCAAGGACGGGGCGCGGTGATGCCAGCCTCTTTCATCAAACGGTAGCGAATGACCGACTACCACAGCTGCTACCTGATTATCAAGCGTTGTAGCGAAGAACGGGGCAGAAAAAACGTACTGTGTGGCCTGCCACCCGATGTGCGCACCCCTTCCGTCGTCTTTGCCTACATGCGCTGTGTAAAAACAATCGACTTTGCGCGATATGCGGCTGGAGTTGTGGATTATGTGCATCTGCATTTTTTCCTGCCTCCGAATATTGTCGATGTCCATTACCTAAGACATCGTGTCGGTAGTAGCTAGCCACTTGTTCTCTGAGGCAGAGAACACGAAGTGACCGAGGTGTCGGTAGAGTAGCACTCGCTCAACAACAACACTGCGACGCAAAGCGTTGATGACTTGTTACGAACGGGAACACAGACGGCGCAGTGTACTCCCCATCAAGAATCCACGCTTGAGCGAAGTGAACAGCTCAGCTTGTGCGAGCCATTACAAAGCTAATCTCGGAATGCAGGCTTAGCTTGGAGACTGCTTGGGTTTCGGCTTGCAGACTGATAGCATCGAAGATACGACCGACTGGAGCGCGAGTCCCGTAATACAGTGGAAGAAGCGTTGGCAGCAAACTGGGGCACTTGACTGCTCGAGCGTCGAGCTGGCGTAGTTTTTACGGATCGACAGCGTTACAGTCACACTGTAGCGTGTTATACAAGAGCTGCAGGTCCCTTGCACACACATTGCCCGTAGGCAAAACGATGACCGTCGAGGACAGCACCGTGTTTCCTTCATCCGATCTTGTGTCAGTTGTAAGGACATACAACGACGAGTGTAGCGACAAATCAACGGTCGCATCGCTGTCACGCACGTTTCCGCAGACGTGCCGAGCAGACGAACCCAACATGTCACGAACTGTACTTGACTAGAGTTGTCCATCTCCACACGACTCGACACTGTGGTGGATACAGCAGCTTAGAGCTCGAAGCAGCATATCAACCGACGCCAAGTTCTAGACGGGAATAGGCTGGTCACGCACATTGGCCGACATTCGGCCACGAACCAGGTCAGGCGTCATGAGGTCATTGCCAGTGGCATTCGCTCCAGAAGATGCTTGACCGTGCTCATCGAACAGGGGTTTGCGACGAAAATGGCACCCCCAGCGACGCGATCACATGGTTGACCCCGCTGTAGCGCAATGCACAAAGCAGTGAGTTGACGAAACGAGAATCCACTTCAAGACGAGCGACTGATGAGGTGCACATCGCACACACGTGTGGCTTCGCGAGTCTTTGTGCAAGCAAGACAGCCGAAACAACGCGACGAGAATGGACGCCGTCGGTCCTATCCCACTGCACGACGCATCAACGACTGACACCTGCTGTCTCGAATCGCGACAGATGCACGAGCGTCGACACGTCGCGTACGTAGAGTGTTACAACTTGCACTTGCAGCAAGCAAAGTACGACAAAGCTGGCGACCGTCAGCTCGCATCGTCTGCGTCGCCGGTCACTGCTTCGAGCGCTGTTGCACTGCGGAAAGACGGACAAGCAAAGGTGTTGCGCCTGCATGTTTACGAGCCGTCTTGCTCGATCAGCGGTCGTTGCGACTTGTTACGGCAAACCAGAGAGCTTCCCACAAACGGACGTGTAGCTCTCGAGTCGCTGGTCTACCTACCGACCCACCGCCTGTTGTCCCACGTGGCGTTACACACGTCGCACCTGTTGTCGGCCGTCGCTTCCCTACTTGACTGGTCTACTCTATTCAACGAGCATGTAGCCATGGCGGTCAACTAGTCAGTTGTCAAGCGAGTCCGACCCCTGCGCTTCTTGCGCTCGAACAGCTCGTTCGTTGGCTCACGGCGCGGCCCAACAACGCGGCCATGTGGGGCACCGACTGAAAAATTCCACCCGAAACCACTCGGCCTTTTGCTCCGTATATCGTCCCCCCACACGGCGGCTTCTTAACGCGGGCCCCGGGCTCAACGACAGACAACTCGGTGCCACGTGCAAGTTGGCGACCGCCATTCGTCAAAACGCTCTCTGTTGCGTCGATCTCGACGTCCAGCTCCTTGCGCATCTTCGGCCTTCGCACTTGCACTTGAGCTCCTTATTGCACGGCGGCTACAGTTGCTGCGTGCTGACTGCCAGTTTCGCTCGAGAGCGACCCGCCCAATGGCAACACGAACGCGTCGTCCGCGAGGCCTCTCGGCCAACCACGTCAACGAGGAGGAGCGCCTGCAGACCATCTTGAACGACAAGTCGGCGCTGTCGTGCATTCGCCTGCTGGGCAAAGAGAACTGGGTCAAGGTGGACGAGCGGCCCAACTGCTTCTACTGCGCGCGCAAGTTCCGCCCCTTCTCGATCAAACGCCATTGCCGGTCTTGTGGCGAGATCGTCTGCTCCAACTGCTACCGGCGGCGAAGAGTGAGTGTCACGCCGACCTTGGAAGTTACGGTGCGGCTCTGCTTTGACTGCATTGACAAAGCCATGTTGCTGGCTGAGAGCGAGCACCTCCGCAGTAGTGTTGCTGCCCGGGGCAAGCCACGATACATGACCGAAGACGACTGCAGGGAAGTAGACACCCAAACGAGCCTGTCGGACGGGAAAAAGACCTGCCGCGACAGCACGCAGACCGCCTGCACGACAAGCACGTCCCTCTGCAGTCGCTTTTCCGACCTCTCTGGCTCGGACAGCTGGAGCGACGTCAATAGCGACACCAGTGACAGCTGCAGCTTCAACGGAAGTGGTGGGTCACTTACCGGTAGTCAGCGCAGTAGCCGTCGAGGACAGCCAGTGATTTCAGCAACCACTCTGATCGAGTTCCTTCCAGAAGACAAGCAGTTTGAGATCTACGACGCCCATAGACACGAGATCCTGACACGATTGAATGTGCTCGACTCGGAGCCCGAGAAGGAATACGACGCCCTGTGTGAGCTTGTCCGTCACGTATTCGAGTGCGATGTCGCGGCCGTGGCTTTCATGGACCGGACGCAGCAATGGTACAAGACTCGATATGGTATCACCCAGACGGCGCTGCCGCGTGAGATTGCGTTCTGCTCGCAATTGCTGCAGACGTCGCTGCCGACCATTGTCATGGACGCGAGCGAAGACCCTCGATTCAGCGAGAATCCGCTCGTCACGGGCTCGGCCAACATTCGATTCTACGCCACTGCGCCGATTTGCGACCCCAGCACTGGCATCGTGATCGGATCGGTCTTTGTCATGGACCCAAAGCCGAAGCACAAGCTACCGTCTCGCGCAATGGAGGTACTGTCGTACGTGTCTTCCGCTGCGGAAAAGCTAGTGCAAGACAAAGCCGCTGCCCCTGTGCTTCCTCCCGTGAAGTACAGGCGTCAGTTGTCAGCTGGTCGCCGCACGCACCACGAGTCGCTACCAGCCTTCCGAGATAGTCGAGCAGCTTCGCTTCAGAGCGTACCGGAGGAAATTGAAGCCGGTGACTTCTGCACTACGCAGCCACGGTCAAACGCCTCGAGCATGTCATCGAACAGCAGCACATCGAGCAGCCAGTGTAGCAGCTTGCGCTCGTCGGAGCCGAAGTCTCTCGTGTCTGCTCTGCATTCGCAACAACCACATTGCCAGCTTCTGAACTCGAACACGAGATGGGCGTCTTCGGCCTCGACAGACTCGTGCAACACGTCAAGCTCGAAACTCAGTATCACGGACCTGGTGTCGTCACGACCAAAGAGCTTTACACCGACGCCGCGAAAGATCCTCGACTCGTCATGCATTGAGCTCTTCCATCGCATCGCTACTACCCAGCGGCTCCTGGCAAAGCAGCACGACACTTTATTGGCACTCTTGGCCCAACCTTCCCCACACTCTAGCTCTACCGGGCAGACCGTAGACGAGAGCGAAGGCATCTCGTCTGTGCAGCAACCACGTAGCCTGTCACGGTATATCGACTCAGTGGACCGACGACCAGTTGATATGTAGACAGACCGTATCCAGGAATAGAATCTCATCAATATTCATTGTCATGTCATGTAATTGCTGCGAAGGTCGTGTCTGCGATCGGACCTCTTGACCCTCTCAAGGAGGAAGCAGAGGGCTGCGACGGCCAACTTGTGTCTCGTAGCACACAAACACACACACAGTTGCTTCTCTCCATTCCAAGACGGCTTTTGCACTACCAAGAGCAGCAAGAGCAAGCTGAAGCGTGATCGTGCATCGAGGTTTGCCGACTGATCATGCACGGGATCGTGGTTGTGACGAAGCGCCTGCTGCACGGTGGCAAGCTCGATATCCACGCAAAGGCGTCTGGCATCCGCGTCTATTTTATCGGCAGTCGCTTTTCATTATGGAGCACTAGCTCATGTGTGCTTCTCTGCTTTGTGCACCTCCAGCTATGCCATCTCCGTCTTCTTCGCTCTCCTCCTCCTCATCAACATCATCAAAGTCTTCTGCATCGTCATCGTGGCCTCCTTCATCGCTGAAGTCGTCGCCGTCATTGTGGTCGTCTTGGCCACTGGACGGATCATTCTCACGACCATCGTCCTCTCTGCTAGTGCACTCGTCGCTCTTCGACTCTAGCGGACCAGCGTCTTCATCCAGCAGCACGCCCAAATCCAGGAGCTCGTGTCTGTACTTGGCAATCTCCTTCGTATAACGAATACCGTGGCGCAGGTGGCGCAAGCGAAGGCCCAGATTAAGCCCTCGAGCAGATTGCGGATATGCATCCTCATTCGGCACAACGAAGCTGCCGTCCATACCTTTGCAGCTGCCATGCAGCTTTGCATAGACTTGGAACGAGCACAGCAACACATCTTTCCAATACTGCTCGGCATGCGGTGTGAGCTTTCGTTCGGCAGACCAATGGCGGGCTGCAACTGCTCTTTTCCGGCCTTCTTGCATCTGGATCGGGAGCAGACCGTTCGTGCGCTTGTTGTACTGATCAAGCCATGCGCCCAGCTCAAAGCTTCGAGCCACCTCTGGATAGCGCTGATCGTCAGCAGGGACGACAAAACTTCGCGGTATCTCTGCCTCGTTGCCGTGCTCTTCCTTGTAGATTGCCACACACGGGTCCACGATATCGCGCTTCGTGGCGGCCGTCGACTTGTAAATGCTCCACACAAACCCAAGGTTCTCCAGCCGTTCACGGTAATTCTCCACCTGCTGCGCATGTTGACGGCGATTGCGTATGCTGCGTACGGTATGGCCAAGCTTCGTGCCCCATGACGGCTGCGGCCACGTGTGCTCCGATGGCACAATAAACCCTTGAGGGACGTGCGTATCCCCATACGTTTCCGCATACACTTCCAGCGCCGGCAAAACCCGATCGACAAAGTTGCTCTCGAACGCGCTAAACTTGAACCCAAGCGCGTCGAGGTCCACCACGACGTCCGCGACATCGGCATTGTCCCGTCCACTGCGTCGCACGCGCACAACTTGTTTGCCCAGTTGATAGCCACGCAGCGTCTTGGGCTGCACGGCGTCGGTCGTCGGCAAAACGTACCACGACGGCACGTCACAATGACCAAACGTCTGTCTGTACCAGCGCAGCGCTGGCACAAACTCTTTCGCCCACTTCCCCACGAGCGCTTTCCACATGTACCCCATCTCCTTCAGCTCTTGTCGATGGTCTCGAACTTCAGCTTGGAACACGTACTTCAGCTGAATCGACGCGACAATGTAACCCAACTTCATGCCCTGCGCTTTTTCCGGCCACGCGTCGTCAATCGGCACGACAAAGTCCAGTGGAATGCTCGTCGCGCCGTTGTATTGTCTCGGATAGAGCCCAAGCGCCGGCAAGACCGCGTTCTGCCACACGACCGTCGACTGGTTCCCGTGGAAAAACCCGAGCTTGTCCAAGTCGGCCACTTGCTCGGGCGTCAGCGCCTGCTCGTCGTCGTGCACGCTCGCCCGGACCTTGGCCACAATGTAGCCAAGACGGTAGCCAGCGGTCGCCGAGGGCCAAAACGCAGCGGCCGTCTCGTCGCTGTCGTCGGCCGGCACGCGGAACGTGTGGTGCACGTCGCAGTGGCCATAGAGCGCGTGGTAGTTCGCCAGGGCCGTGAGGAACTGCGTCTCCCACTTCCACTGCGTGTCGCTCCAGATGAATCCCATGGCGTTGAGCACGTCGCGGCGGTCGGCCGCGAGGCGATCCGTGCGGTCGTCGCGCCGCCGCGTGACCGACGCCTCGCGTCGCAGCACTTGGCACAGAGAGCCCAAGTTGACGCCCCACGCGGCGCGCGGCCACTGCTCGTCGTCGTGCGGCACTTGAAAGTCCTGGCGCACGAACAAGTGGCCTTCGCGCGCGCGGAACACGCGCAGCGCCGGCACGAGCTGCTGCTCCCACACGTACGTGCGCCAGTCGGCGAACGGGAAGCCGATGCTCTGGAGCATTGCGCTCTTGTACGGCATGGACCGGCCGCGCGTGAACAGGCGCAGGCGCTGGCCCAGGTCGAGGCCGTGCGTAGCGGGCGGCCACGGCGCCGTTGGGGGCACGACGAACGCGGGCGGAACGGTAAAGTGCCCTTCGACGCGGTAAAAGACCTGCAGCGCCGCGAGGAAGTGGCGGTCGCGGTCGGAGCGCGGGCGGCACGTCGTGACGGGTGCGGCGCAGGAGCGCGCGCGGCGCTGGAGGAACGAGAGCGGCCGCTGGAGAGCGGCCGACGACCGGAGACGCTCCATGGCCGACAGCGAATGTTTCGGGGCGGATGTGGATACGGTGCGTGCGTGCGTGAGTGAGTGGGGGTGGATTATTTACTTATATTCTAGAGAGGGGGTGGGAGCATTGGGCTGCGGGTGGGCATGAGTTATTTACTTATATTTCAGAGAGGGGGGTGGGAGCATTGGGCAGCGGGTGGGCGTGTGGGTTGGGGAGGTGGTGGTGGAGGTGGTGGAGTGAGAGTGACGTCAATGAGCTCTACTATGCTTGTTTGGAGGATGGGGGAGCAGGGGGGTGTATAGTGTATACCGAGCGCGGGGCGGCTGCGACGATCGAGGCCTTTCTATCCGATGACGGCGGACCGTCATCGAAACACGATCCGCACACGATCTCCCCGCGCACATTGTTTTAAACACACAAACAACTCGAACATTTCGAGCCGCCTGGTGGGCGACGCAGCCGGCTCCCTCGCTGACACGCCACGAACTCCCTCGATACGAACCGCCTCCCGATAGCGACCTTGAAGCTGAGCTGCATCAAACCATCGCGCGTGATGCACCCGATCGCCGTCTCCTCGCGACTCCCCACCGCTCTCTTCAGTTGCTCGCTCGACCCCACGTCAACTCCCACTTTCGCTCTCGCTCTCTCTCTCTCTCTGTGCCCAAATGCTGCACCGCCTCCCGCACTCCATCCGCGCAATTCGCCCGTCGCGCACCTTTTCGGCCTCTGCCGTCGTACGTCAATTGCCCCATCCACTCGCTCCTTTTCCCTCTCGTCTGCCTAACGCTCTCTCTCTCTCTCTATGTCTCCCTCTATGTCTCTTGTTGTTGTGGTGTGTGTGTGTGTAGCCGCGTGTGCCGCTCTTTATCGATGGGAAGTTCGTCCAGTCGACGACCGACAAGTGGATCGATCTCCTCAATCCAGTGAGAATCTTTGCCTGTTCACTGCCCCCAACAGCTCTTTGCAACAAGGGCAAACACTCACTCACATGACTCTGTTTCTATCTCTTTCTGTCTCGATCGCTGTGTCTGTTCAGGCCACGAACGAGGTGCTCTGTCAAGTGCCAGAAGCCACGCCACAGGAGGTACTGCTACTCGCAGAGCAACAGCTTTTGTCGTCCATTTAACGTGGACAAGCGCCGTCTCACACGTGTGCTGCTGCTGCTGCTTTGTCATTCTTCTTGTCGTGTGTCGGTATAGATGCAACAGGCGACGCAAGCCGCTGCCCGTGCCTACAAGACGTGGAAAGAAGTGGGCGTTCAGCACCGTCAGCGCGTCATGCTAAAGCTGCAGCAGCTGATCCGGGAACACACGGAGGAACTGGCACTTGCTATCACTCAGGAACAAGGCAAGACGCTCGCGGATGCGCGGGGAGACGTGTTTCGTGGCTTGGAAGTCGTGGAACACACGTGTGGAGCGGCGACGCTCATGATGGGCGAGACAGCAGAGAACTTGGCCACGTCGCTCGACACGTACTCGTACAAGCAGCCCCTTGGCGTCTGTGCGGGCATCTGCCCGTTCAACTTTCCAGCCATGATCCCGTTGTGGATGTTCCCGACTGGCACAGTGACGGGCAACACGTACGTGCTCAAGCCATCGGAGAAAGACCCGGGAGCGACAATGGTACGACACCTGTTGTGGTTGTTGTACTCGGCACTCGAGGAAGAACAAAAGTCGGGTAGACTGACATGTGGCTGTCTGTGTGTCTGTGTATCCCTTGCCATGGCTGCTGCTGCTGTTATTGTTGCAGATTCTTGCTCGTCTGGCGCAAGAAGCAGGGCTTCCAGACGGCGTGCTCAATGTCATCCATGGTGCTCATGTGCGATCCCAGCCAGCACTTGGTGTCTCAACTGTTGCCAGCTCTCGCTGACGTTTTGTTTTGGATCTGTGCAGGACACGGTCAAGTTCATTTGCGATGCGCCGGAGATCAAGGCCATTTCGTTCGTGGGTGGCAACCAAGCAGGCGAGTTCATTCACTCGCGTGGCAGTGCCAATGGCAAACGCGTGCAGGCCAATCTAGGAGCCAAGAACCATGCTGTCATCATGCCCGATTGTGACAAGGAACAGGCCATTGGCGCTCTTGCGGGTGCTGCTTTCGGAGCTGCTGGTCAGCGTTGCATGGCGCTATCGGTTGTGGTCTTTGTCGGCAAGTCGAAGGAGTGGGTCCACGATATCGTAGAGAAGGCCAAGGCGATGACAGTCAACGGCGGTCTCGAACCTGGCACGGACGTGGGTCCTCTCATCACGGTAGCAGCCAAGGAGCGTGCCGAGCGTCTCATTCAAGAAGGTGTGGACAATGGAGCGGACCTGCTTCTCGATGGCCGCAACGTCAAGGTGTCCAAGTACCCGAATGGAAACTTTGTCGGCCCTACCGTGCTCAACAACGTCGGTACGGATAACCCGGCGTACGTGGAAGAGATCTTTGCTCCCGTCTTGGTGTGTACGGCCGTCGAGACGCTGGAAGAAGCGATTGAGCTCATCAACCGCAATCCGTACGGCAACGGCACTTCAATCTTCACGTCATCGGGTGCCGCTGCTCGCAAGTTCCAGCACGAAGTCGACGTGGGTCAAGTCGGAATCAACGTGCCCATTCCAGTTCCTCTGCCCATGTTCTCCTTCACTGGCTCACGAGCATCGATCCGCGGCGACTTGAACTTTTACGGCAAGGCTGGCATCAACTTCTACACGCAGATCAAGACGGTGACGGCGCTGTGGGACTACAACGAGAAGACGCACTACAGCACTGTCATGCCGACGCTCGGCCAGAAGTAGCGGGGAACAGCAGTAGTAAAGCAAAACAAACACCGACAGATTGGGCAGCATGGCACTTGTTTGCGTTCATTCGCACGTCCCGGTATGCATGCACGCACTTGTGCTTCTATCCCACGTAGCCCTGCGTCGTTCATGCATCAAACAAGACGCATCATTGACAGCAATGTCAGCGTCTCCGGCCACTTCCTCGACCACGGCCGCCACCTCGACCGCCACCTCCACGACCACCACCATGGTAGCCACCTCCATTGCCATGGTAGCCACCTCCGCCACCGCCGTTGTCGTTGCGATCCGATCTCTCTTCGTCAGCTTCCGAGATCTTCGTCTCTTCGAGCTTTCGCCCGTCTGGCTCGTTCAACCTGCACCGGTTGGCGTGATACTGATTGACAAACATCTCTAGTTGCCCCGCAGCGTTCGCCGCACCGGTCTTTGCGTTCTTGCTCAGCCGCGGGCACACGTCACGCGCGATGAGCACCAACAGTTTGTGAAACTGCTTCTTGTATTGCTGCAACAGCTCAAAGCCGGCCACTTCCAAGATCGTGAGCGTCAGAGCTCCTGTCATGAGGTGCGGCGGCTCGTTCAACAGTCGAGCAAGCCATGACCAGCAGTCTCCAAGACCCAGACCTGGCGGAGACGGACTGCCGTCCCAAGGGGTCGTCTGGCGCACAGCCGCTAGAACAGCACAGACCATCGTCATGCGTCGCGTGTACTCCGTGACGTGCTCCAGACCATCCGGGTCGGAGCTCTCACCGACTGCCTTGTGGAAACCCACAGACATCTTGTAGTCTGCAATCGTCTGAGACGCGTGCTTCTCCGGATTGTCGGGAATCGTGAAGACGCACGTCTTGTGGAAGTATCCCAGTACGACGTCCGTCAGCTCTGGAGTTTGCACACAGCTCATTTTGATCACGTGCGCTACGGGGTAGCAGGATCTGCATCAAACATGGGTACAAACACAACCGGCGAGATTGTGAGCTACTAGCCGCGCTCCAACACAAAGCCTACGCGACACAGAGCTACGCACTTGTAGTCTGCACGACTTTCCACTTGTCTGGAGAGGTTCGACGCGACCATGTCGAGCGCGAATTTGAAGTACGCATCGCCGGAGGTCTTTGCCATCTGCAACAACTTTAGACTTAGACCAATTTGCCGATGCAGTGGCAACACTCGAGCGGAATCATCGTACCTGCAGAAGCTGCTGGATTTTACTCACAACATTCTTGATCGCGGAAGGCGCGGCTGCAATCTGATTACACACCCCGGCCTGCATGCGATACATCATGCGTCAGCAAGCCACACGCACAATGCAGCAGTTACAAAGCAGCGCTCACCTCGCGTCTGATCTGCATACGGATCTTTTTCACCGACGGATCAGGACTATCCAGCACCTCCGCGGTGTGGCGGCGCAGATCTTCCAAACGCTTCATGCGCTCGCGACCTTGCTCTACATGTTCTGCCATCCGTGCGGCCACTTCTTTATCCGCAGCTTTTTTTGCAGCTTCATCGTTTTTGCGCTCAATCTCTTGTCTCTTTTGTGCCGCTGCACGTTCAGCTGCCTGAAGCTTGGCTTTTGCGTGCTGTTCTTGCAATTCTCGCTCCTTTTGCTGCTGTGCCTCCTCCTCCTCCTTGGCCTTTTGGAGCTCCTACACCATTACCCAATCCATACACCCACGCACACATGCAATATCCTCGTTACACTACAGCTTTACGAAACACAGCACACGCGAACAATCATCACCACCGACAACCAGCATCTCCGTCCGACACACCTCTTGTCTCCACTGCTCGTCTGCTTCTTCTCGCTCCTTCCGCTCTTTTTCTCGCTGTATCGCTTCCGCTCGTTGCGCCTGTTGGTACGCATGCAACTTGTGCTCCACACTCTCGATAGCCGACTTTTCACGCATCCACATCTAGAACATCAACAAGCAATGCACGTCACGACAAGCCCACAAGCAATAATCGAAAAGTCAACACCACCACCACCACCACGTCCATCAAAAGTCACAAATGCTTCTTCTCGTCTCCCATAGGAGTGACACGGATGACAAGAAAAAGCCCGACCGCCTTCATTGTCTCTCACCTGCTGCAACGTGACCCTCGCTCGGCTCTCCTGCAACCGGTGCAGCTCCTGCCTCAGCACATCAAGATCCTGCTCTTCGCTCTTACTTTGGCCAATCAAAAGTCGTTCCAGCGCCACGTCGGCGTCCTGTCGCGCCTGTTGCAGCGTCTGGCACAGCGTCTGGTACGCGTCACTCCCAGCGACCGCCTGGGCCGCTCGACGCTCACACGCGCGCTCCAGCTGCTTGACAAGCTCCTGTCTGGACGCTGATGTCCGTTGAACGGTCTCGAGCCCCATAGACGCCGTGCACACGTCTTGAAACAGACCCGTCGCTGTCTGCTTGGCACCGACGGTCTCGTCGTCGTCGTTTTCGTCGTCCAACGTCGCGCTACTGTCGAAACAATCGGGTGGACGCAAGCTTCTGCGTCTCACGGAGGAGTCTAGAGACAGCGGGAGGGTCTCGCGGCCGTCGTAGCACGCACGGACGGCGTTCGAGCGCGCAGTCGGCGCGACGTCCGTGACGCTGAAGCGCATGACAACAACGCACACAAAAAGGATATCAACATACAATTTGTGTGTGTGTTTGTGATGCTTTTGGTGCCGAATGGGGCGAAAAAAGGTGTCGCCGACAGTGAGGTTGACCTAAAAAAGAGCGCGAGACACAGATGTGTGTGTGTTTGCGCTTGTCTTTTTTTCAGGAGCCTCCTGCACGAGAGGGGGCGCAAATGGTGTGGTGGACGTGAGTTGGACCGCGCAGGCGACGGGTAACCGCAGAGACGGAACCGTCGACGTCTCCACCATTCATATTGCCGCGAGACATCGACTTGACCGAGACGTAGTCACTCGCCTTCTTCCTTTCTTCGTGACCCAGAGCTGCGCAATCATGGTAAGCTCCTGCGTCCAGGCAGGTGTCCAGCACTGGCCTTCTCTGCATGATAGGAGAGGAGAGGCGACAGCAAAGGAAACGCACACGCAGAGAGAGGAAAAATACACGGAAAAGAGACAGACAGAGAGAGAGAGCTATTGCGCTATTGAGCGATTGCGCTATTGAGGGAGAGAGAGCTATTGCGGTATGGAGAGAGCAGGTGGCAGCTGTGGGGCACTGGAAGCCAGTGAAGCTCTTGGAACGACTGCTGGTAGCTGCACTGGACGTGTTTGTGAGCTGGCTGTAACTACCACTGCAGTTGTCTATTGACTGCTACGCTTGGCTCGATGCTGCTCGATGCTGCACTCGCTCTCTTTTTCTTCATAGCACATTTGTTGTGTAGTTTTCTCGTTCACATCTCTCGCTGCTGTGCTATCCCTGTAGCTTCAGCTTTCTAGTACTGACAGAGCGATAGTGCCGCTGTGCTGTGTTTGTCACCTGATGGACAACGAGCTGGTTCCGAGTTGAGACGCTAACTTGTTTGTTTGTTGGTGACGTGCGTGCGTGCTGTGTTGCTAGCCTCGTGATCTCTTGCACCCATCTGCTGCTGAAGAAGCGTCCAAGCACAAGCTTCGTCGCCTCGTACAGACCCCAAACTCGTACTTCATGGACGTCAAGTGCCCTGGCTGTTTCAATATCACGACGGTGTTCAGCCACGCCCAGACGGTCGTGCTGTGTGGCTCGTGCTCGGTGATGCTGTGCCAGCCGACGGGCGGCAAGGCGCGTCTGACGGACGGCTGCCAGTACCGCAAGAAGACGGAGTAAGTGTAATCATGAACCATGCAGGAGGAGCTGCTGGCTGTCGGTCTCCATGGCAGCCGCAGATAGATACTCGACGACAGAGGGCGAAGGAGAAACTGCGCAAGAAAGTCATTTGGTCGTGTTTGCTTGGCGTTTCAGCTTGTACGCTCACTTGCTTCAACTTGCTTGGGGACTGGATGTGCTGGGAGGAGAAGAGAGGATGGCTGTTGGCCTTTGCAGGTCGATTGGATCGGGTTGGCACGCTGTGTCTAGTATGGAAGTAGCTGCTAATGTGAATCGAGGGACGTAAGAGTTGATTATTTTGCAGGCTTTCATTCGTTTGTTGTTCCCGTGGGTGCTATGTTGGCTGGTAACAGGACAAGAAGTGTGCAATGACAACAGCTCCGACCGAGACGACGATGATATGATGCACACGTTTATCGTTTCCTGTATTCCCTTTGTCGGTTACCCGTTCACCCACTTTCCGCATGTCTGTTGCATCTGTCAAATCTGCACATATATAATATAAAGCTGCCGCTATCAGGGCTCCCTGCCGCTGCCAGGGCTCATACATGCGTACACACCCTGCTCGATCAGGAAGCCGTTTGTGCTCAGTTCGCTCTCGTTCTCAGTCTTCTCGATCGTCGGCATCACATTGAAGCAGCCCTGTCATTTCCACTAGCAAGTCCCGTGCCAATACGCACGCACTTACGCGTGAATAGCCGTTCTATCCTTCTCTGCCACAGTCCACATGCTATCGTCCTCCAAGTCCAAACGCTCGGCAAGCGCCATGATGGACCCCGTCTCTAGCAGATACGACACCAGTTTGTCGTTCGCATCGACCATCTCGTCCAGCACGTCGGCGTTGGCTTCTTCGTCGGTCGCAACCTCCTCTTCGTCGCCAGGAGTCGTCGAACCGCCATCCTCCTCTTCCTCTTCCACGTTCGATCCATTCGAACCGTTTTCCGAGACAGAATCGTCTCCATCGTGCCGTCGACTGCCTCCCCCACCTCCTGACTTGGTCGACGAAGCCTCGTCGGAAGACGAATTGTCGTGCGGCTGGTCTCTCTGCTGTCGGCTTTGTTTCGATCCTCTACCACCGGCTGGCGTCTTCTGACCGCGCAACAGTGCTGCCTTGCGCTCCTTGGTGCGCTGACGCTTCTTTTGACGCTTGCTGCGCTTCGAGGCTTGGCGTGCCTGCTTCTCGTGCGTCTCCTTCTCGGTCTCTTCCTTCCATAGACTCTCCTGGTACTTGAGGTGGAACACCGTGCAGTTGCAGTTCTTGCACACGTTGCACTTGCACTCGGCGCAGAAAAATGTGTCGTTCGAGTGCTTCGAGAACGGGCCCAGGCAAATAGCGCACGTGACGAAGTGTTGCTGCCAGATGCGCGTGGCTCGCTTTGCCACGGTAGCCGACTTGTGGGACACCAACGTCTCTATATTCGCAGAAGCCATGAGACTCGCATACGGATTCGGAGAGTCCGTGCGCTTTGCCTCCAACTCGCCGACCTGCAGAATACGCTCCAAACCTTCCAGCGCCATCATCACCATACTCGTTTCTTCCAAGAGATTGCCTAGGATCTGAATGCAGCCCTGATTGACTAGGTACTCGATTTGACTGTCCGATCCGCATGACGTGGCGTTGAGCACGACCCAGCAGGCTTCACTCTTCACCTCAGCATCCGTCGTGTCGGACGCAGCCAGCCCCACCAAAGACGGGATACATCCAGAGTCGAGCACGCACTGGATTTGGTCGACTGTGCCAGCGGCAATGTTCGACAGAGTCCAACACGCTTCTTTCTGGATCTCACGATTCGAATGTGCAATCAGTCTCCGCAACGAAGGCACAGCACCGCACTCAATTATGTGCTGCGTGTAGTCATGGTCATCTTCGGCGCAGACAATGTTGCCAATCGCACGCAGAGCGGGTTTCGTCACCCGCCAAGACGAATGACTCAGAAGCTCAACGAGTCGGAAACACACGTCCGAGTCGACGACTGCCTGGATGTGCGTGCTGGGTCCATCACACAAGTGCGAAAACGCCCAGCATATATGGCTCAGGATTTCAGTGTCTGTGCTCGTCAGCATCTTGGCCAGGTACGGCAAAATGAGCCCGATGTCAAACACCGGTCGTGGCTGGCCGTCACACAAGTTGCTGATTGTCCAAGTCAGGATGCGAAGCAGCGACAGACGGTCCCACGACGTTTTCTTCAAGTTGTTCACAAGCGGCGTCAGCGCACCAGCGCTCAACACAAGATCCCTTGTCGCAGCTCCTTCGCCCGCCAAGTTACCAAGAACCCACACGGACTGCTCTAGCACCTACCCCCCCATGTACACGAACACCCAGCAAATCAGCTCACAATGTGCCGACACCAGACCATGAACCTACTGTCACCTACCTCTTCATTAGACGAATCCAACAACGAAACGAGCGTCGGGATCACGCCATTTTGCAGCAGCACCGATGTGTTGTCCGTGGCTCCCGCTGCAATGTTTGTGAGTGCCCAGAGCGCTTCGACTTGGAGGGTCGGTCGGTCTCGTAGTCGCAACCACTTGATAAGACGCGGCGTCCAGTTCTTTTCCAGCATCTACATGTCGACAATAAACAGACCCGCAATTACCCGATCCGTCGTAGCATGAACCAGTTAGCACGATGTCACCATCGACTGCACAGATCCACTGCGACAATAAACTCTACCTGGCGAATAAGTAGATCACGCTCGGATGACAGTAGCACTCGTAGCTTCTTGGCCGCTTCCAGCTGAACGTCCGCGTCTTCAGAGTTCAGTCCGGCATCAATCTGGTTCAAGTCTCCCTGAAAAGATGGCGAGGGAGCCAGCGTGCCAAGTCCAACCGAACCGTCCAGTCCATTCCGTCCTAGATTGCCATCTGCCAGTCCGCTCAGACTGCCATTAGCCAGCAACCCAGCCCCGTGCGCGAGATGGTGATGGTGATGGTGGCGGTGGTTCAGCGAGTGCAGCGAGAACTGCGACTGCGGCGTCAGCGCTGCGCCCGTCCCCATGACTCCTGTAGCATCCATCATCCCTGTTTTCCCCGCACTCCCCACATGATGAATGGTCGTCGTCGTCGACGTCACGAGCGTCGCGTTCCCTCCACTGTGCGTGGCCTGATGATGGTGCACAATGTCCCCATTCTCTGTCCGATGGGCGCTGGACGACGATTTCTTGAGCGACAAATTCGACTGCGCCAGCGTGCTGGGCAGAGCAGCAACAGCTGCTGCCGTGAGTTCAGCCACGTCCGTCGGCGATAGGAACGCCTTGTGGCTCGAGATCGTACTAGTAGCGCTCGCACTGTTGCTACTAGTGTGGCTATGGCTATTGAATGAACTGCTCATCGGGTCCCTGAGCGTGCGACGACGAGGGGTCCGTGCGCTCTTGTCGTGCAGTCCAAGTGACGAGGGGCCGTCGACTGTATTTCTACCGCCTGTAACAACAGCAACAAGAACGAGACGAAGGAAAATCGACACAAAGGACGAGAGAGCACAGACAGAAGACGACGTTAGGTGGCGCTCAGAGACGGCAGACAAGAGAGGGAATGGAACGAGAGACGACACGGGAGGATGGACGAGCGACGACACGGGCACCGACGTGAGTCCGCAGTGCCCGTGTCGCGTCGCAGCTGTAGCCGCACGACGCACCTCGTGAAAGCCGCTGGGCGCGAGCTCCTCGATGCCTTCTTCCTCTTTTATTTTAGCTGGTGGGGTTGCTTAACTTTGAGGTCAATTCGCGCGGGTTTGGACTAATTCGTCGTACTTTTGGTAAAACGGCGTCGCACGAACCGCTTTGTCGTCAGTATCAAGTCCGACAGTACCTCGTTCGGACCTTGTGGGCAAAGGAGACTGACAAGTGGGTACTGTTTATTCTGCTGGGCTGTTGCAGTTGACCACGAGTTGCACGAGGTACACCGAAAACAAGCACACACTTTTGTCGCTTCCTCGCGCGTGCATGTGAACATACACACTCACGACTGCAAAAGCTGTTTCTCCTTCTTCGTCTGCTGCTTCTTCTCTTGCACAATGATTGATGGCTTCCACCACTTGTGTGATCGTTTCCTTGAGAAGCTCTCTTGCGTATAACTTGCTTGTTGCAAGCACGTGTGCTCCTCATGTACAGAGCTCGCTCTCCTCGTGAAGACCGTCGTCGTCAGGTGTCGCACACTCGTACAGACACAACAAGTCAGAGCTAGTGGCCCGCGACGGGACAGTCGATGTCGAGTCCGTCCCATCTTTAGGATACGCACTCGTGCACATCCTCCTTGGCATCATTTGTTCCAGTAAAGCCACATCTGCGATGCCACGACTTGTCGTTGTCCAGTGACTACAACTTGTAACGCGTTGATAGAGTCCATCATCGTCAGCACAGCTGATTCACCCGCCGGAGCGATACACGCACAACCGCCGACAAGTCATTGTCCCTAACAGAGCAAGACCAGAGCTCCAGGTGTTGCTAGCCACGGCGTGCTGAATGTCCACGACTGGGAGCGCCGCATCGGCCGCACTCACAGGCGTCGACTCTGGACCGTAGATCTCACGACGAGCAGCAACGTCCCACAGCGAAATGCGCTCGATATCACGCGACCACGAAGCCGCCACTGACGAGCCATTCCATTCCGACCAGATTGCCGATCGAGACAACACGGCGACTGAATTATGACCAGCAAACTCTGTTCTCGGCGCAAGCTGCCCGCTCTGGACGGAACTGAAGTCGAACACGCTGTGCATTGTCGACGTAGAGCGCGACGAAACCACCATTTGGGTCGAACGAAGCTGGTTCGATGCAAGCGAACAGCACGCGTGGTCTCTCGGCATGTGACAAGTGGTTGTGGCTGCAACAGGACCATTGTCGGTCGTTTGGCCAGCTCCAGTCACGGTGGTATTTGCAACGTCTTTCCAGACGGACACACCACGAAACGTAGCCGCTGCTAGACATTCAGTCGGACGTCCTTCGTAATCGCTTTCGAACAGCTTGATGGAGTGCACGGGTTGCCGCTCTGGAAGCAAGAATGTCTGTACAATGCCTTGCTCGCCTGCTACCGGCTTCCGCATGTCGTACTTGGCTACAGTGCCATTTTGGAATCCACAGTAGATGGAATTGGGATCTCGTTCACTGGAGCTGCACGACCAACCCAGCCGTCGGTCGGCGGGAAACGCTACCTCAAACACCACTTTCTTTTGCTCCAGACTGGTCACAGCTAGCTTGCCATCGAACGCTACCGTGATAGCACTACCAGTTGTCGGATGGATACAAATATCGCGAACGGAAGAGCTGTGTACGGGCACTTGTACCCTGCACCTCGGGTCTTGTCCGACGATCTTCATCACACCGTACGAACCATTGCCGACTTCTTCACCGACATACAGAAACGAGCACGACCGGGCGATGCTGAACACACGCGCACTTGACAACCGCACATCGAATATCGGTTTGTACTTTTGCACTGCATCAGCAAATGTATCTTCTGCTGCGGGCTGTGAGAGAGAGGACACTACCGGCTGCCGCAAGTTGCTCAGAGCACACGTTGCAGGCGCGTCGATTGTGCTTTGCGACGACACAACGTGGTCCGATGCTGTCAAAGGAACAGGAGCACTCAGACATCCACTGGCGTTCGTCGCAGCGCTAGCTGTGTGACCAACCTTGTTTTGTTCCGCCGTACAAGAGCACCGCACACCTGCAGCGTCTCGTTTGTATCCATCCAGCATCGACTGTAGCCACTTCGTTTCAGTCATGCTATTGTACAATTGCGCCTTCACAGCCACCATGTCGCTCTCGAGCTTCCTGCTCTTTTGCTTCTCTTCTTGGTACTTTTTCGTCATGTCGTCCAGCCCCGCATTGTCGACCACTGCCACGTGATTCGAAAACAAGAGACAAATGTCCGTGCACTGCACGACTGCACTGCAGTTCGGACACGTGTGCCTCGCCTTGATCCAGCGCTCGATGCATCGCTTGCCAAACACATGGCCACACTTGAGCGCCACGAGCCGATGGCGACCGACAATGGTACAGCCTTCGCAGCAAATTGTGCACTCGGTAGCCTCGGGTCTGATCTCGATACACGAACGATTGCGCTTCCGAGACGCTGTCGGGCCGTCTCCAGCTCGTCGAGCAGCAGCTTCCAATGCCACTGCGGCCTCCGTGGCCGTCAGTATCTGCACGTCGTCATCGTCGTCGTCTTCAACTGTAGTGCTGGGTGGAGCTGAAAGCTGCGAGACAGCGTCATCAGTACTGCGTGAAGTAGTAGTAGTAGTGGTAGTATCAATCGCACTGATAGGAGAGACTCGAGCGACCTCGTCTGAAGTAGTTGTTGAAACGGACCCGAGCGGGCGACTCGAGCGCGCAGAGGTCTCGGCGCCGCTCTCACTCGCACTGTCTTCACTGCTGACCACGTATTCGCTTACGCTCTCGGAGCTCTCGTGCGTGTTGTCACTGCTACGAGCGTCAACGTCAACGTCGTCGTCGTCAGTGTCGTTGGGGTCGCCTGAGCCAAGTGGCCGGTCGGCGTTCTGTGTACTCATTTGGGTCTGCACAATGGCTACTTTCGACGCCGACCTTTTTCTGTCGAGAGGCTATTTTAGGACCCGCGGATGGGCCCGAGATGAAAAGCTGCAGGGGCTTATGTTCGCGTGCTGACCGCTTGGCTCAGATTGGGGACGTCGCTGTGGGGTATCGGGGAGGCGTACTTAGCGCTACAACGCGCAATTCGATCGATCGTTCTCGAAGACAGGTTAAGCAGTGGGACACGGGGCGGGCAATCTCTCCAACAACAGCCTGCACAACCACGACAACTACGACTTTTACAGTATACCGATCCTTCTACCGCGCAGTTCACCGGCTTCTCATCGTTTTCGACACGCATAGCAGCATGACTAAACAGAGGTCAGCCACCCTCCCCATCCCCAACATTCGCCTCCACAAACCCCACGCCGTCCTCGTCGTACTTACGAAAACCTCCCCGCCCACACATTCAAAAGTTTGAATAATACGACGCGTGCGCCAAAAGCGTTTAAAACACCGCCGCGGATCCAGCAGCTTGGACCGACCTGCGCCGCACGCCGCTCCTTCCCCATGACCGACCGCTGGACGACCCACCAGCGTCTGTTCAACACGTTTAGCGACAACCGTCCGCACGTACGTTCTCTGTATCCTCGTGGCGCGTTCATAGCCGTAGCTACAGCTACAGTTTGAAACCTCTCGTTACACAGGTGTAGATCAAAAAAGCGCTTTTTATACTGTACCCATGTCCTAACACCTGCAATGACTGGTTTTGGGCTGCACGGAGCAGCGCCGGAGCCGGTCGACTGACCTGTTACAGTCAACAGCATCGCGAGGTCGAGCAGCTGGGCGGACCAGCGGTCCCGATCATGGCCAGACGCCGTCTTTCTTTGCTTGGGACCAAGAAGACGCACTGGTGCCGACGCCAAGTGTACGGTGCTTTTGCTTTTTTGTGTGCTGGTGTCGATGTGGTGTGCGTGTGTGTGTGTGTATCTCTGTGGTGTGTCAGAAGAGCAGCAGCAGCTCATGATTTGGTTGCCATGTCGTGGGCTAATTGGATTTGTGTGTGTGTGTATTTGTGTGGGGATGTGTGTGGAACCCCACTGCAGGCAGTAGCCAGGACACTGCACATGACAGAGACGCCGTGTGCGATCGATGTGGCAGTCGACAAGTCGCACGTGGCCGAGTGGCCACGGGACGCTGGATGTGAAGTGCGTGGCCGAGAGCGAGACGTGGCTGATGGGGTTGAGATTGACGATGGCAGCAGCTGTGGCGCAGAGGACGATCGAGCGGTAGTACTTGGTCGGTCCATTGCTGTGAGTCCGAGTCGAGAAGACATCCTCGATCGGTGTCCTCCTCCTGCTGCTGTTGCTGCTGGAGCGGTCACACGGTCGCCTGTGGCAGTCTCGCCGTCGCCGTATTGTCTCTCATCGACTGCGAGGTCTAGATACAGTCGTCGACTCGAAGACAGCGGCAATGCCGTCTCGACAACTCGTGCCCAACTGTCTGTTGCAGGTGTAACAACAGAGCAGGCGGACCGCTACAGAATGAGCAGGTCGAGTGGCAAACGATTGCGTTCGCCGTCAAAGCCGACCACCTTGTGGGGAGATCCGTGCAGTAGCTACAATCGCCATAGCGGCACGCGCAGCAACACGGACACACCCAGTTTCTCTCACAAGCGTCAAGAACGTTCTGCTGCTGAACGGACGTTTGGCGGTTCGTCGGTCTTTCGGACGCTCAACATGGACACGTACGGCTGGCCTCGATCCGAGTCGGTGCGCGGCCAGCATCGATCTGTCGCAACCGGTCCTGATGCCACTGAGGCAGAACGCGGGCTTCCACGTGACGTCGAGTCGAGGCAGTTGCCTGGTGCACATTCACAGCAAGCGCACTATCAGCAACGTAGCGCAGACCACAGCAGTACTTCGTGCACGGGCCTCGTCGACTCCGAGATATATGCCTCGCCTCTCGCTGAACCCCGAAGCTACAAGAAGACCAAGAGGGTATCGTTTCATGGAAACAGCCACGTCGACTTGCCGACCGAGGTTGCTACTCACCCGCAGCCTCGCACTCTCCCTGTGCTTGCGGACAAAACCACGCAGACGGAAGCTTTCCTACTATCAACGTGGAAACCACCTGGGTCCGACACACTCGGCGTCTCGGATCGCCACGACGGTCAAAGGAACGATCAAGGATCACCTCTGCGCTCCTCAGTGATAAATGAGTCTGAGCATCCGAGGCAACTGCCAAGTGAAGTTGGTGATGCTGCTGGTGCAGCCCGTACGCAACGGCGCCATTACCGTCAAACGAGTGGCCATCTGACGAATCCAATCATGGTCAATCCTCGATACCAACCAGAGCCGACAACGTTCCGTAGGTCGACGTACTCCACACTACGCAATGACAAGTTTCCGTGGCGATAGCGCTTGTGCGAACGAGTTCACGAAAGACAGTGAGTGTGATGATTAGAACTGCTTCGGTGTGAAAGACCCGAGCAGCAGCTTGTTCAAGTTTGTCCGAAATATACGCGTTACAACAAGAGCAGCAAGATTCGCTGGCCCGCTCAACTTGACCAGAGGCGTCCTATTCATCGTTATGGGCCGCAGCTTGCGTCAAGTCACGTGCCGCTGAGCTCACACAGGATGCAGTTGGTACGAGCAAATGCCACGATCACGTCTGCGTGGTCACGAACGTGATGGACGTTATGACAGGCCGACATATGAAGTCTTGTTGCAGCTTCAAGAGATTGACGTGACAGGCTTTGCCGTCAAGTCCAACAATCTGACCAGGGAACTGTCTGCGTTCACATGTCAAGGTGTGTTGCGCAGAACGCATCACGCACTCAGCTCTGCAACGATCGCGTATCGGCGCACAAGATCGATACCGTGTGGTCGCTCACCCAGTCGCCAAAGCAGTTCACACTTCACACAAACGCTTGCATCCGGGCACCGTGCGCAACAAGAAAGTGGCAAGGACCCACTAACTCAAACCCGACATCTGCTTCGACCACGCTGAGAGCTGAGTTTGACGACGACCGCTCGCTTTCCATACCAATCGACTCGTCGTTGATCTCTCAACCGCACCAGCGACAACGTAGGCCAAACGTGCGCAAGGACCACGTGACAACATGACAATGACGACAACAACACCCCCACTACTTGCTGCACCGGAAAAAGCAGTAGACGTGTACGAAGCAACAGCCACGCGACGCATGCACTGGCGAAAAGATACGCAAAAGAAGACCATTAACCACCTCCAGCCAACAGAAAAGTCAGTCGCGTCGACCCTTTGTCCCTTCGTCCCGGTAAAACTCCGTCAGTCGCACCTCCAGTCTCGCAGGTTCCACGGGCGGCAGACTCCCCACGCGCAAAAGAACTTCGCGAGGGATCGGTGCATACGGCTGCACGCCACTCACTTTCGCAAACTTGCAGACGTTCGCCATGGCACCAACCGACATGTCGCCAAGAGATTCCAACGGTACCGTTACCACAGGAAACGCAGCAGCACTTCGTGCAGGAGGACCGCGTCCCGACAGTGCACCTCCACCCACTGGCTGCTGCTGCTGCTGCTTTTTCCACTCGTAATAGTCGGCAAACGGTCCCCCGGGGGTCAAAAACGCAAAGTCCGGATTGTTCTGCTCCCGTTGCCTGACTGTGAGCTCAAAGGCGACGCCATTGCGCGCTACGAACTCTACCAGTCGATCAATGCGATTCCTCACGTCGAAAGGGATCGCGTCCAGTCGAAAAGACTCGGCGACGGGCGCGGACGACTGGTACGTCGTCGAAACAGGTGGCACGGGCGCGAGAGATGGACCGTTCGATACGGACGAAGCTCGCGCAGATGCTGCGATGGACGCCAAGCGCGCAGCCTCTTTCGCTTGGGCGATGCGCGCCTGGAACTGCTGCTCGAGCTGCGCCGACGGCATGTTGATGGCTGTTTGGTGTGTGTTTGGGATGCGGTGATCAAGTAAGAGAGAATATGGTGTGTACCACCTTATTAGTGGAACAGAGCGAGGTGGGGATGCCGTGTTTTTGTGGCGTACACCTAACGTGGACAAGCGTGTCAACATCGGAGAGAGCGAGTGTATACTTTGCAGCGGACGAATGTACTTACTCCCTCGCGGCAGACTCGGTAGGAGCTGCCTGCGACTTGGGCCCGTTGAGCTGCGAGGTGTACTACAACACACTCTGTGGGTACTGCATTTGCCAAGAAGACGACGTTATGTCGCAGTATGCTCTTGCTGATTGCACAGCAATTCCGCTGCTTTCGTCTCGTCACCGTGACCCACGACTTGTACCTGCCAGCCGAACGATTTGCACGACCTGGTGGCGAACACGGAGACTGCGGACGATGCCGAGTCGCACTGAATGACGCATACAGCCGAAGCAAATGCCGTGTGTACGCGAAAGAACAGTGACATAGCTGCTGCGTGTTGCACCACACGAGTTCCCTCTACCCCTCTTCGCAACGAAGCATGAGGCGGCAAGTACCTTCACCCCAGTCGAATCGTCACTCAATGCTGCATCGCGTTGAAACTTTTTTGCACCGTGACATGCACACTCGACGGGATCGGCGAATGGACAGCGCGTGGGCAGAAGGAGCGGCAGAGTCTATCCAGTTGCACACATCTCGGGGCGTCAGCATTGACAGGAAGTCGTCTCTGGTTATGCACAACGAACGTCTGGTCCTTCCTTGTGTTGAGGTTCGCGCTAATAGCACCTTTCCACACATGAGTCTTGGCTATGCAGATCCGATGGTTGTGGGGCATGCGGCGTCTTGCCGTTCGTCCAAAGATGCCACAATTTGCTGCACAATGTGCCTCCGAATCGAGATAGTGTGGTGCCCGATTCGTCTGTCCTGTACACGTAGTAATCTCGTTACCAGTTGACGACGAGGCGGCTACTGCATTCGAGAACGCTGTCGCCATCCCGAAGCCTCATGATTGTGCTCATGACGATGGTGATTGATTCGGCATCGCGCAGGAGAATCACAGAGCGCGAGCAGCATGTGGTGGCTGGCAATAACTTTCGAGTCCCGACTTTGCTTCTTCCGGGTACCGAGTGGTGAGCGCACCGTACGAAGGGTACGACCGGTCCGCTGGATGCTGCTTCTGTGCGATGTTGCTAACAACGGACGCCATCACGCCATAGACGTGGAACTGCGATGTCACCGAGTGGATAGACCCGAGCGACGTAATGCTGACGGCCGATGCCGCACTGACGTCGACTTTGTTGGTAATCGGACCCACCAGCAGCTCATACCATGTGGCACTAGTGCTACCGACCAGGTGGACGACATGCCCCGTGATCAGGAGGATACGTATCGACCCAACGTCACTTCCACGAGCGATGCTGATCAAGTACATTGAAGCTCGTGTCCCCATCCCTCGGCTTTTCTCGTCTCGAGCTGAGGCTATCCAATGTATTACGCCCATGCAGCAATTTTTCCCAGCAGCACGTTGTATAGCTTCAGATCGGTAGCGTCTCGACGTACGTATACGACGGCCATAGCTCCTGGAGTCATGTCCCCGTTCACTCCGTGTCGTATCTCAGCACGAGCTACTCCTCGGGCGTGTGTCCGATCCCTTTGACAGGCACGTTGAGACACTCGGTCGAACTTCGCGTGCTCGTCTATGGGCATAGCTGCCATCGTGGATCGACAGCAGTAGCTCCTCGTGTGCACGCCGCGTGCAGAAGGCACGAGAGGGTATAACGAGGTGGAAACGGCACTTGTCAAACCGCCAGTTGCAGTGGGGATAGACTTACCGACAAATCTTGCCATGTCTATCAATACCTGTCTCGGACCAGATGAGCTGTCTGCTCCGCTCGGCATCCTCTGGAGACGAGCAGACTGCCTATTTTCGTGGAGAACTGCTGACTGCTGCTGAGATATCTGCGTGGAAAACGAGCTTGGAGAGGCACGTGTGACCGGTGATCAAGCCCGAGGTGCATGCAGACGTTTCATCTCAGGCTTGATCACTTGTCATACGTGCCCTCGCAGCTCGTTTGAAATGAAGGCCCAGGAACGTACTTCAACTAGTCCAAAGGAGCTATCGTGACGTGTCCCTGGCAACATGTCTGTATGTCCAGTTCTGCATTGACTGGACATGGGTACAGCAGACCGATAGGCCGACTCGTTGCAGGTCGGCGTCACTTGCTCGTCCTTGTAGCTCTCACGTCGGACACGAAAAGCGCCACCTTTTGCGTCTGCGACCACCTGTCAGCTATCGATTACGACACGATTGCTACCGTTTTTTCTTCCTGCCATCCATGGGAAGAGCGGGAGGGCACGTACGGCAGGCAGTACGCAACGCACGGCGCCATCTGGTCGCGTCTTGGAGTTGCACACACACACTCACGTTGTCGTCACGACGTGCTTTGCACGCGCAGTCTCTATCGCAAGCGATCTCTTCTCAGCTGCCTCGAGTCGTCCGTCGGTCGCACACGGCGTAGAGAGATAGACGAACTTTTGTGCTCATTCGATCGATCTTTTGCAAGCGCTGACCGTGTGCAAACACGTGACGTACGGACTCCAATGACCACTTATCTTACCAGGTGCTGTCTGTCTCGTTCAACGAGCGGCATGGAGCTGCACCTCGACCATCGTCCGTAGTGAGTTACAAACGGCGTCGTGCAGTTGATCGCGAGCTCGTTCGCCTCGACGCCACTGCGCTTGGCCGAGGCGTTTCCGGCCATTGGCCATCAGCAACTCCACTGCAGGTCGCCGTACACTTTCTGCGCCTTGTTGCTAGACGTGACATCTGCGTGCTGTCTTCCATAGACGATGCCGCTGGCGCGAGCGCTTACCGCCTTCAATTGCAATCAAACGACCGACACGAACGGACACACGTCGCGTTGCAACGATCTCGATATTTCAACGACGTGTCCAGACGAGTCGCCTCCGGTCGCCGTCACGAGCCGAAGAAAGGTGAACTAGTTAATGCGATCGACAAGAGGGTTCGTTGTCCGGCTATACAAACGACTTGCTGCCTTCTACATACACGCGCTTGACGCAAGTGCCCTGTACTCTAGACCACCCATTGGCACCGACCGTCTCTGTCTATCCATCTATCCATCTATCTTTCCATCCATCTATCTATCTATCTATCTATCTATCTATCTATCTATCTATCTATCTATCTATCTATCTATCTACCTGTTCATTTAGCAACTGCATTTGCGCATGTACATCCGCTACAATAATGTCCTCAATATCTCTTCTTGTCTCTGTGGTCCTTTCTCCTTCCTCTTCTTCTATCGACTAAGAAGAGTCGCGTCGATGTTTCGTCGGCCGATGACCAGACAGACACAGACTGGACGGCCAGCCAGCCAGCCAGTCTCATTGGCCAAAACCAGCGCGAGCGGATGGTGTGACCCGACGCGATTGGTCGCCATCTTGTCCCGAGTGCCGTGGCCAGCGTTTTTGTGTGGTCGCCAGCGCCGCCAGCTGGTCCTGCCACGACGCAACACACGCTCTCGGCAGTGGCAAATCGCCGTCGAGTCGCAGCCCACGCGAGCCGCTGGACCAGTTTTTGTGTGCGCTTACTTCTCGGCGACCCTAAAGTAGACATTGCTGTGAAGTGACGCCACGACGCCCCGACCACTACTAGTCCACCGCGTCAGGCCTCAGTGCACTCACTGAGTGTACAACCCACCCACCCAATTTGTCGCCATTGACCAATTGACGCACGAGGACAGTGTCACGCCACACACGCACCCACCCACACGCCCTCGACGACAACCCGAGCGATGGCCGCCACGACGCTTCGGAGCGACCGCCGCGCCGCCGACGGCCGCGTGCTCGCACTGCAGGACCTCCTTTCGGACTTTGAAGCGAAGCAGCGCGCGCTGCTGCTCATGGCCATGGACAAGGCCGTGGACAAGGCCATGAAGAAGCAGAGCGAGATGCTCGAGGCCATCCGGACGACCGTCGAGACGCGGCACTGCGCGGCGGTGCACGAGGTGCGGGACGACATGGCGCGTCTCCAGCCGTCGCTGCTGCTCGGGACGCTCATTGGCCGGACCATGGACGTGCAGCAGAACCCCGGCCTGGTGAACTGGATGGCCCGCGACGACAGTGGCAGTAGTTGTAGTAGTAGTAGTAGTACTACTACTACGCGGGACAAGACGCGGGACGAAACGGGCGACAGTGACCGCAATAGCGACAAGAGCAGTGACACGGGCAGCAGCCACGGGCGGCGGTGCCGCAAGGACGAAGTGCTCGCGTGCCTGGCCAAGCTGCGCGGCCACCTGGAGGCGCGACAGGGCAATGCCTTTCGCAGCGACTTTGAAGTGCTGTTGGTTTTGTATATGGAGTACCTGGGGATCCCTATGGAACACGGTGCGCGCCTGAATAATCGGATTGAAGATTTGTACCAAGGGTTGCTGGATAAAGCGGGCGCCAAGCATGAATTAATGCACCTCGTGCACCGCGTGCGCTGGGCGTGCTTTGGCGTGCGCGCGATTGGCAACGCCCGCTCGCACGAAGCGACGTTGCTGTCGGAGAGTGAAATTTTTGAACTGTGTGGCTGCTTTAGCGCACTGGGCGCGGGCTTACCGACGCTGGCGCTGGAGTTTAATGTGTCAAAGAAATGTCGGAACGATAGCGAGGGATCGTTGATACCAAGTGATAAGCAAGTACTTCGAGAGTCGTCTAATTCGGGTAAAGAAATGGCCATGCTGGCGCAATTACGCCAAGCGGCTGCTGCTGGCACCAGTAGCGACCAGACGCCGTTTGACTTTATTATCCAACTTATGGCGAACAATGGATTTCATGTCAACAATACGTCGGCGTCGCCACGGGGCCCACCGGCGTCGCCAAGTAATAGTCCGCCGTTGCTCCCGCCCGGGTTCAGGAACGATAGCTTCACTTTATCTGGCTCTGCCCCGTCACCATCGGTATCGGTATCGTCGAAACCGCCAGGCTTGACGGATCTGAGCTTGTCGAGTTTGAGTTTACACGGCTCCAACATGAATGGAACGTCATCATCAGCTTTGAACGGCTTAAATTTGCACGGATCAACAATGAATGAAGGATCATCAACAATGCACGGGGGATCGTCAACAATGAGCGGATCTACGTTTAATGGGTCAGCGTTTAATGGCTCAACGTTGAACAGCTTGAATTTACACAGCTTCGACTCGGGCGACCGCACGTCGAGTCATGTGCCCCCGTTGTCGCGGCTCGGCTCGATTGGCAGCCTCAATAACAACGCGAGTCAATCGGTGCCAGTTCCGCTTCGATACAGTGACAAAGCCAGTGGCGTGTGGTCGCAGCCACCGCTTCCGCCCAGCTATGCGACGCCGCCGAGAAAAGCGATGCACTCGCCAATGTCGTTGGGGTATCGTGATAGTCCACCAGATCGCTCGCCGCATTCGCTACGAGCTGAAAGCCCGGTACGAAGTTCGTTGAACCCACTACAAATGTCCTACAGAGTCGAGAGTCAGCCGAAGGCAGCGCCGCAACCTCCTGCAGCCCCGCAGAACGAAGTACCATCGCAAGCCAATTTGGCACTCGTCTCGACGTTTACGCTGTATCACCATCGCCCGACGGAACTGCCCAGGGAAAGCGATCGCGTTCGCAAGGCCATGTTTGCGCGTATGCTGAATCATATGAACTCATTGCCGAAAGCGACGTTGTGCCCGCTGTTGCCGAGCCACGACCCGACGTGCCCGCTCTCACACACGTACATGGAGGTGATGTCGTACAACCCGCTGTACAAGCGCTTGGTGTGCCGCCAGCCGTCTCACTACTGGGGAAGCCAAGTGAGTGAAGACGAGAGCTGTGTGTGTTTGCACATTGACACGGGGCTCACGTGGGAGTGGATGGACGAAGCGCGTGACAAGCGCATGTACTGCCTTCGTGGCGCCAAGTGCATCAATGCCAATTGTTTCAAGTCCCACTCGTTTGAAGAAATGTGCTGGTACAACCCGTCCTACAAGATTAAACGCTGTACCGTGCGCGCGCACGACCACATCGCACGCGCGCGTGGCACGATCGCGCCTCCGCTCGACTGCAGCTATTACCATATTGAAGAAGGCAAGAACGCCGACAAGCGCGACTTCACGGCGGAACACGACCACGTGGGCAAAGATATCAAGATGCTCTTTACCGAGCGCACGCACAAGCCCCTGGCCGATCTCCTCGAAGCTGTTCGCTACGCGCGTGCCCACAACCTCTAAGAGGCGGGCGGCACGTCGATGCGATGCTGCACTGACAGCAGCTCGCCTTGTACACCCGTGTATGTAGCTTGTTTTCGTTAGGGGCCGGCCTCCCGCTTCCCGTGGCTGGGCATGCAACAGGCAGAAGGATCCATCCATTCATCCGTGAGTTGTCGACAAGGTCGAGTGCACTGCCCAAGTTGGTCTCCGTCGTGCATTCTAGTAACACGGCTAACAAAATGGACGTGCACATCAATCACTGAAGACCATCGACGATCCTCACCACTATCAGTCAGGTCTTTCAACGATCCACCTCCAAGCCATTGGATGCCAGGTGTCCTCAACAACTCGCCGACCCGTTTCCAGACCGTAATCCGACATGCACATCAACTTCAACCATCCAGCACATGACCAAATGAACTGCATTGCAGATATCCTCATCGACTCGAAGGAGGTATCGTCGTCGTCGAAGTAGCAGTCGCTGGCATCAATCATCAGTCCGTCAACCGCTAACGGTCAACGCCCTCGTCAACGCTCGTTCGCTCACGCCAGCAACTTGTCCCATGCTCCCAACGGGGTCTCGAAAACAACAACAACAACAAGAGCTACAACATCAGCAACAACGTTCTTCCTCACCGTCCCAGTTGAAGCACATGACACGACCATAATCTGCTGCACAACTCAACTAACCCGTTCGTCGACACACACAATGACCGCAACACTGTTCCTCGTACGTCCCTCTCTCTCTCATCTCCATCACGATACACATTCTTACTCACACCATTGCACATCGTATCCATAGAGAGGCCACAACAGTGTCTCGGCAGTCACGTCGAGACTCGTCGTCGGCAATAGAGCACTGCGCTTCCCACGAGGTCCGAGAGGCCACACGGTAAACAATACCCATTCAGATCATCCGATACCCCGTCTCAAGACAGACAGACAGACAGACAGATAGACAGAAATGTCCTTGACGCACTACCTGTTGCATTAGCGCTCCTCAACCTCCTGGACGTCCGACCTGCTACAAAAGGCCAAACGCTCGGCGCTCGCGTCGCCAGTGCCCTGGTGGCTCTTTGGCACGGCGGGACTTGTTGCCACGACGCTCACTGTGGGCGCGGCGGCGCGTCTGACGCGCACGGGGGCCTCGCCACTGTACTGGAAACCGCACATGTTGCACGCGCCGCGCTCGGAAGACGACTGGCGCGACGAGTTTAACGTGTATAGGGCCTTTTGTGCGCGCTCGCAACGCACGTCAATGGTACGTGACGACCACTGATTGTACCGTGACGGGACTATTGACGTGTGTGTGTGTCGATCTGTATGTCTCCTGTAGACGCTGGACGAGTTCAAGCGCAACTACAAGTGGGAAGCGGCGCACCGCCGACTCGGCCAAGCGACAGCGCTGTCGTTTGTCGGTCCATTGGCGTACTTTGCCCTAAAGCGCCGTCTGCCAGCGCCGGCGCAGGCGCCGCTGGCACTGATTACAGGACTCGGCGCCCTGCAGCTCTATGTGGGCCGTGCAATGGTCGAACGCAATGTCCACCGACGGGCGGCACCCGACGACGACAGTGCGACGTTTGAAGGCGCGACGTTCTTCCTACCAGTTCATGTACGTGCAATAGGCGACAGCAGTGGCCAAAGGAGCTCACGGTATATACATATATTGATATTGATATGTGGATGTGGATCGACAGTCGGCGCTGTCGCTGGCGAACTTTTCGCTGCTGGTTTGGACGGGACTGAGCATTGTCTCGCCCGTGTCCCGCGCGGTATCGCTGCGTGGGCTCCTGACGCCCAGTGCCCTGCACGACGTGGGCAAAGTCCACACGTACTTTACGGCGCTGACGGGTCTGGCGGCGACGACGATTGTGGCTGGCGCATTGGTGGCGGAGATTGACGGCGGTCGCGAGTTTCAGACGTTTCCCAAGATGGGCGACCGGTGGATTCCCCACGGACTGTTTGAGCAACAGGTACGACAAGGTTGTAGTACACACCATAGTACACACCATAGTAACACAATGGTGTGTCCTATGGTGTGTGCTATGGTGTCCTATGGTGTGTCTTATGGCGTACTATGGTGCGTGCTATGGTGTATGGCTTATCACGTGTGTGCATGTGCCACTGCCACAGCCGTGGCTGCGCAATTTCCACGATAATGTGGCGCTCGTGCAGTGGGACCACCGCCTGTTGGCGCTAGGGACGCTGGCGGCCTATACGGCGGTGTTTCTCCAGGCCCGCAAGCCGCGCGTGTGGTCGCACTTGCCGGAAGATGCCAAGCGCGCCCTGATGTTGGCCATGGCGGCCGTGGGCGGACAAGTCGCGATGGGCGCGACGATGCTGGTGAATGGCGTGCCGAAGCCCCTGGCGATGGTGCACCAGAGCGGCGCAGCGCTGGTGCTGGGCTCGTCGCTGTGGGTGCTGCATGCACTGCGCTTTGCGCGTCCAGGAGGTCTCATGGGCGCGGCGGTCGCGAGTGCGGCGGCCAAGATGTCGTTGTAGTTGCCGTGCCGATTGCGCACTGCCGCGGTCGGACGCGTGTGATTGGTGGATAATGAAGTTTCTCTGTTTTCTCACGGTGTCGTTTGCGCATTTGGGCTTTCGCATGCACCGACGGATTGATCATACGCTGCTCAAGGTACTACTTCCTTGCCGTCGTCTGGTGGCATTATGCGACATGTTGCTCGTCACGCGACTAGCGTGCGGGCCACGACTAACCCTACTCGCTGGTCACTAGGCCGAGGCGCAACCGTCTCAGATTACGACGCTCTGCCACGAAGCGACTCGCTTTGGCTTCTATGCTGTGTGCGTGAACCCGTGCTATGCTCGACTTGCGCGCAAGGTGGCTACATACACGCAGTGCCGCCAGTGTGGAACCCACACGCATTGATGACGCGTTGTTTACTGACTTGTAGACGCTGGACGAGCTCGACGCCAGTGACGCCAGTGACGCCAGTGGTACGACCAGTAGTGGTCCAAGCCGTAGTACCCCCACGTGCCACGTCAAAGTGTGCTGCGTCGTGGGGTTCCCGCTCGGAGCTGCGACCACAGAGACAAAGGCATTTGAATCCCAACAGTGTCTGGAGGCGGGTGCCGAGGAGATCGATATGGTGCTCAACGTGGGAATGCTCTGCGCCCACGAGTACGACGCCGTTCGGAGGGACATTGGCGCTGTCGTGGCCGTGTGCGCAGACCGCCGCGCGCTGTGCAAAGTGATCCTCGAGACGGCGCTACTGACGCCAGCGCAGGTCCGCAGAGCCAGTGAATTGGCCATTGAGGCCGGTGCAGACTTTATCAAGACGTCCACGGGGTTCTCGACGCGAGGTACAACGCGCCCGTTCCGACTGTCTGTCCACTCACGACCCACGTGTCGACACCGTCGGACAGATAGGGACGAGCGGTGCACTTGTCACTCACACAGTACAATGGGTTTGTGTTTGCTGTTGTTATTGTTGTTGTTGTGTGTGTTTTTTTTCTTTTCAGGTGCCAGTGAAGAAGACGTAAAGCTCATGGTGAGTATTGCCGGACCTGCTGGGAAACAAGTGAAGGCGAGCGGCGGCATTCGGTCAGCTGCTGACGCAGCGAAGATGGTTGCACTGGGAGCTACGCGTCTTGGGACAAGTGCCAGTGTCGACATTGTCCAAGGCTTGCCGACCACAGGTGGCGCGTATTGAGGCCGGGCTTGTCGGTTGGCGCACATTGCTGGCGTGACGATCGTGGTGGATGAATTGAGCAGAGCATTGCAATGAGTAGTGTGCTCTCTGCTCTTCCACTCGTTGACAAATTGAGTGCAGTGAAGTGAAGAAGACCATGCTGCGGAAGTGCTACGAGAGGGCTATCGCTTTTCCACAATTCTGTTGATCTTCATCAGTAATGACCACAGGTAGTACAAGGATCAAGCAGTTTTTCATCAGGTTCAAGCAGGAACATCCACGCAGCAGCAGCTGTTTGCTGGATCGTTCCGTGGTGTTGATGTTGATGTTTTGGTTGGCAATCGATGCGTCGCGTCTCGTTCTCCACGCACGAGCCAATGACTCGCACGAGCGCGGCCAAGTCACGTCGTGATCGACCAATCACCTTCTCGAGTCACGCCCCAGGACCAGATCCAGCGATGCTGCGCCCTTTTTTCCCGATGCGACGTCGCTTATGTGCGCCACACACACCCCCACCCCCACCCCCACCCACCCAAACAAAGAGCCAAACAAAGGAACAAATCACTCGGCGCGCTCGCGTGAGTCAGAACGGACCCAAGTCGCCGCCCGTTTCTACCACACCAAAACACCCGTCTCCTCTCCTCGACCGCGTGCTCGTCGCCCATACTCACATCAAGTCGCTCGTCGCCCATCCTTCCACTCCGCTTTTGTCCCCAGCGTCTCCGCTCGGGCCATTTACGTCCAATCATAACCGCCGCCACGACCCCCGCGCTCCTACGGCCCAAACGACACAGCAAAATGGCCACGACCCCAATGGCGCCCACCACGTGCCCGTCCGTCGGCCCGCCCGCGGCCCGCTCGGCCCCAGACGCAGCAGTACACGACCCGACGCCGCGCAAGACGCTCCTCCACCACCCGCCGCGACCGCCGCCGCTGCTTCCACCGGCAGGAACGGCCGCGTTTGCTTCCGACATGACGACGTTATGGCCCGAAAGCCGCTGCTACCTCCGGTCGCTCGCGCTCGGGCGCTCCTGTCGCAACATTTTCAACCTCGAGCCCGGCGCGATCTTCCTCAACCACAACGCCTATGGCGTCGCCCCGAAGCCCGTGATGCAGGCGCAGGCCCACTTTGTCAACAAGATGGAGATGAACCCGGACCGGTTCATGCGGCGAGAAGCGCCCGTGCTGCTGCGGCAAGCGGCCACGTACTTGGCGCGGTTCATCCATGCCGAGGCCGAGGACCTCGTGTTTGTGACCAATGCCACCACCGGCATGAACGCAGTGCTGCAGTCGCTCGACTTGCAGAACGACGACGAAGTCCTGTGCTTGAACCTCACGTGTACGTTTGCGTGCGTAAATGCTGGTCGATGGGTACATTCCAAGGGGAAGCAGTATGTAGTGATTGACGGTGATTTATTGGCTGTTGTGGTTGTTGTGGTTGTTGTTTTCTGTGGGCTGTAGACTCGGCGGTGCTGCATACGCTTCGGCATTTGTGCTACTGTACGCAGGAGTTTGTAGAGCTGAAAGTTGTGGACGTCGAGCTGCCCATTGAGAGCTACGACGCCCTTGTCGAGCAGGTCGTGGACGCCATTACGCCCAATACGCGCTTGGCGGTGCTCGACCACATTGCTAGCACGACGGGGTTCGTGCTGCCTTTGGAGAGACTGATACCGATTTTTCACGCGCGAAAGATTCCCGTGTTAGTGGATGGTGCAAGTGCGCCTGGTCAATTGCCGCTGAACTTGAACGAACTCGGGGCGGACTTTTACGTGGGCACGGCGTACAAGTGGCTCTTTGGCTGCAAGTCGTGCTCGTTCTTGCACGTGAGCAAAGCGTACCAGAACACGGTTCGCCCCGTAGTGACGTCGCTGGCGTATGGCCAGGGCTTTGTCGAAGAGTTTGCGATCCAAGGCACACGGGACGAAGCGAATTTCTTGACGATTGTGTCGGCGCTGGACTTTTACGAGAGCGTGGGCGTAAGTCGCGTGTACGCGCACAACAAGTCGCTGATCGACTGGGCAGACGAGTATTTGGCTACGAGGTGGAAGACAAATGTGTTGCTACCGGCGTGGCAACGTGCGCCGTTTGTCAGTAACGTGCGGATTCCCGTGGACTGGCCCACGACGTCAGAAGGCAAACCCATGTCGCACGACGACGCCCTGCCACTGTGCGATGCCATTATGGACTTTTTGAACGACGAGTACCGCATTGTCGTGCGCGTCGTGCCGTTCCAGAACCAGCTGTATGCGCGCATTAGTGCACAGATGTACAATGAGCGCCGGGACTATGAGCAATTGGGTCAAGCTATGGTCGAAGTCACGAACACGCCGACGTTGGACGACTACCTCGCGCGACTGCGACTCTAGTGCGCGTATACACTATATATGATCATATCCTATGTCGTCGGTGTTAGTTTTGCTTCCCACTTTTGCGCGTCATAGCAAAGTCGTCATATGAAAGAACAAACACAGCTTGTGCGTCGGTGGCTCGAGAAGGCAGAACCGTCAGACCGGACGGATTCGGACAAGCGGTTGACGTTATTTTGACCAATCATCAGAACGCCGTCGCCCTTGCGATACAGAAGCCCAGCAGCCCCAGGAGCTACGTAAGAGAACAAACAGTCCGTCCGCACATTACACACACAACGTAAGACTCGACGCCTCTTCGTCCGTGTGTTTGTGGTCGTGCGTAGCACCTGACAAAAGTGCACAACGCCCGACCGCAACAGCTCATTACTTCTTCTTCTTCCTCTGCTTCATCTTCCTCTGCTTCTTCTTCTTCTTCTTTTTGTGAGCACTATGACGGATCAGATCACGACGATGGAGGGCGCGATTCGCGCGGCCGAGCAGACGCTGGAGCACATTTTCAACCCCAACTTGGAACAGGACAAGCGCATTCCCATTGATCTTCTGCACGAGGCCAAAGGGTTAGCGTTCCTCACGGTGATCAAGATTGGCCTGATCTGGACGGGCAAAGTGGGTACAGGCGTCGTGATCTCGAAGCTGCCGGATCGTCGGTGGTCGGCCCCCAGTGCCATTGGGACTGCGGGCATGGGCTTTGGCGCCGAGATGGGCGCGCAGCTGATTGAGTTTATGATCATTCTGAACTCGGACTTGGCGGTCAAGAGCTTCATGCAGAAGGGACAGCTCTCGGCCGGTGCGAATTTGGAGTTTGCTGCGGGGCCCTATGGTCGCGCCGCGGGTGCGAATGCCAACTTTAGTGCTTCGGGCATTGCTCCCAATTATACCTACAGCCACAGCAAAGGTCTGTTTGGCGGCGTGGGCTTGCAGGGATCGGGGATTGTCGCTCGTGCTGACATTAACAAGAAGTTTTACGGGCGGGACATTACCCCGACGGAGATCTTGACTGGAGCAGTGGACCAGCCGGCTGCTGCGTCTCAGCTGTACGACGCACTGCAGCGCATTGTGAGCATCCCGCCGTCGGGTAATGTCCAGAACCTAAAGCAGAAGCTCATGTCGCCGTTCACCGACCGCATGCCTGCTGCTGCTGTGGGACCGGACGTGCAGCTCGTGTACGACCGCGTGCTGCACCTCATTGAGGGCATCTCGGGTCGGACCGGCGTCGACGAGTTCAAAACGAGCTGCAAGGACTATGGCCAGAATCGCTGCACGGACAACCAGTTTGTGGACTACTTGAGCAGCAAGTTTACGGCTGAACAGACGCTCGAGCTGGTGCCGGAAATTGTCAAGCTGCTGCAGGATGCTGACAAGCGGAAATACGTCTGGGTACGTCTCTCGCTGTATCAGAGGATGCAGCGAATGCTTGATTGCCATTTGTCGCGCTGCTGACTCTTCGTCTTTTTTGTTTGGTGGTTGCACAGGAGTACTACCTCAACGTCAAAGCGCAGTCCCGATCGGCCAAACACGCCGCGACGTCGCCCTCGCTCTTTTAAGATCCGGAAGGCTTGCTAGGTTTTCATACGAGTGCATGCTTCTGACCGCGTCGATAGCTTGCAGCAAAGTAGCAGGACGGGCCATTGGAATAGTATTGCGTTTGGCCTTACGCCGCTCTTCCTCGATCAACTGCGTATAATTAAGCTAGCATGTGACTGCTACGAGTGTGAGTTTTGCTGCGGACCGTCGTCGATACTAGTTGGCAGTGCCGTTTTTCTCGTCAGCTCACACTTTGCTTTCGATCGTGGTCACCGCGAGACACGCGTGGTTGAAAGTAGTGTCCAAACTCGCGGTCGAGAGGATCCACAGAGGAATCTGCGATTGCATCGACAACCTGGGGAAGCAAAGGCGCGTCATCCATCCGGGAAGACTCTTCTTCGTCGGACGACAGCACCGACGCGTGTGTCCAGCAAGCGCGAAAGTGGTCTTTGTACGCTTTCAGCGAGTTCTTGTTCGTCGCGTGCCACACAGCGTTCAGTAACGGCTGCAGAGGATCGCATATGCTTTCCATCACGCTCAGAAACGCGTTCGGCGTATGGTCTGCGCGGAAATATTGCACCAGTCTGTTCATCAGACCCCAGATCGAGCAGAGCACTATTGTTCCCAGGTACAACTTGACTTTCGCACGAAAGCGTGGCGCCAGCGGATCCATGTGCAGATCCTTGAGAATCATGTGGTAAATACCCACGTTGAAGATAAGCACACCCGCCACAGGTACGTAGAAGAGCACGAGCTGCTGCAGCGCTCCTTCGCGACGCCAGAGAAACGGGTCTTCTCCTGCTTCTTCACGCGTAGAGTGGACTGCGATCCAACACCATCGACGATCGGCTCCACCCACTCCAATGTGTCCCGTCAATTGCCGCAGCACCAGATACACCACCGCGAGTCCAGGCAGGCCCCATCCAATAGCACGGTACTGCCGCAAAAACGCCTCCGGGTACTCGTTCCTGGCCAGCAAATAAAGAGCAAAATACACACACGTGAGCGCTCAGAGGGCTTCGACAACTCTTCCCATAGCAAATAGCCACACAACGTCACAGAACGCTGATCAATTGTCCAGCCATCCCACGTACAGCTTGACAACGATCTGGTAGAGATCGAAAGCAAAGCAAGCCGTCCAGAGGTACGACGCCAAGTAGAAGTACTGCAGCATCAGTGCCTGTACATAGCACAGTCCTTCGTGCTGGCGATAGTGCTGACCAGCTCCATTGACCACGAAGGACCTGATTAGGGCACGAAAAAGACCGTAAGCATAAACCTTCCGCATCGTTAGCGTCCAGCGACTACTGTATCGCGAGCGACGGCCTAAATTAGGACCGACACCGTGTCCACACGAACATGGCAAACGCGGCGGAAGTGAGGAGACCGGCGAGGCCGATGGACGTGACAATATGGAGCTTCGTGACCGTTGGCTTCTCGACGCGATTCCACGTAGCGAGTAGAAAGCTGCAGCCTGCACCGGACGCGCACGCCGCCAGCTGCAGCACCACGTCTTGCACCAGCACAGCCATCTTTAATGAGCGCTCGACAATGGGCTTGTTCAGGTGCACCACACAAATTGAGGCACCACTGCAAACGTCCGTGTACCAACATACGGGCCCAGCAAACTACGACGCGTGACCAAAAAGGGACCATCATTCCGTCGTTTCGTCACTTGTTTTTATAAACCCGACAAAAAAAGCAGAATCCCGAAAAAAGTGACCGACGACGCCGGCGGTCATGCCGTCGCTTGCTGGCGTCCCTGCGAAAGCTGATACAACGGCTGCGGTCATGGACGCGCTATTGCTCAAGTACCTGCAGACAAGAGGGTACCACGTCCAGAAAGGGGACGATACGCGTCCTCCGTGTGGTGCGGCATCGAGTGTACCCATTGAAGACGTGAGCATTGACCACTACGCCCGACAGTTAGGCTTAACAACCGAAGCCTGTGCGGCCAACCACGTGGTACGTCTGAACGCAGCTGTATCGTGACGGGGTGAAAAAGTGGTACTTTGTACCACTGCTCGAGTCTAGGCCTCGGTCGTTGCCGACCGCGTGCGGAATGTAGCCATGTTGTTGGATGGCTCCAACAAAAAACGACCCAGTCGACTGACGCCCCTTGTTGTTGTTACCTGCTGCTGCAGCTGTTCTATGGACTCACCGGCGGCGATCCTGCAACGTATGACGAAGCGTACCGGAAACTGATGGACTGGATCTGCAACTCGTTGGATATGTACCGCAACGAGCTGCACGCCGTGGCGTTTCCAGTGTTTGTCCACTGCTACTTGGAACTGCTGGCAAAAGGTTTCATGGACGAGGGCCGAGCGTTTTTCCATCGTCATGCACGAGATCATACGAGACTGCACTTGGAAGAACTTCGGACACTGAGTCTTGTGTTTTCACAGCCGCAAATGCAAGAAAACGAATACGTGCGCGAGATCCTCCACAGCAAGTTCAACGTGGAGATGAGCCTGCTGTCTTTTGAGCTGCTGAACACGTTCTTGAGCCAAGAACGGCTGTTTGTCTTGCTGTCGATCGTCAATGAGCGGGTGAATCTTGTCGTGACGTCGAAGCAGCCGGGTATACAGATACAACAGCTCCAAGATGCTACGACACCAGACGTGCGAAATAATTTGGAGCCAACAAACGATGCAGCCAGTGGCTTCAAGACACCTGACGAACTCGCGTTGGCTGTTGCTGCATCGGATGCACCAAGGGAAAGTGAAGTTGCCATGCCGTTGACAACTGGTCCCTATGACGTGGACTATATGGTGCGTACGGCTGGCGGGAACGGTGCTGCAGCGATCGAAAGGATGGGCTACACGGTGCAAGACCTCAATGCTATTCCTATCAGCTGGGGAGTCTTTCCGGAGCGCAAAGTGCATGACCCTGTGGCAGACGAAGGAGAGGACAATGGTGGGATGGGAAAAGAGTTTGGTGCGAATGCAAGTGGTGTAGCAGGAAGTAATGCGGCGGTGAGTGGGTCTAGTGGAAGCCATGAAGCCGATGGCGACAAAGCAAACGGCGGTGACAACTCGAAAGATAAGGGCAAGGTGGTTGGACTGTCCGCAGATGTGAATCGCAAGCACAAGCGTGCAAAACTGTCGAGTGGCGGCATGTCAGGCATGAAGAAGGAATTGCTGGAGGAGACTGGTCCGCTTCCAGATCGAAACAACGCCTATAACACTGAAGTGCTGGAGAAACTCGTGCTTCGCACTTCGGCTACTATGAAGGAGCACATTCTCGAGGACGTCCGGGCCCGTGCACAAGTAAGCCGCAGCGCACTTCCGTCAGCCCTGTGCTTCACTTTGCTGAATTCGGCGACTCATATCAACAACATATGCTTCAGCGACGACGTCACAATGGTGGGTGCTGCATGCGGCGATGCCTCGTTTCGAGTTTGGCGCAACGACGATCAGCCTCTAGGAACCGCTACGGGGTCGGCATACCAGGGCAATCGAGGGTCGCATCACACGGAGACAGAGGAAGATGAGAAAATGGCTGTGCTTCGTGGCCACACTGGTGCTGTGTATGGCGCAAGTTTCTCACCTGACAACCGCTTTGCGCTCACAGCGTCGGCCGACTCCACGGTGCGTTTGTGGAGTATGGCTGCGAAGAGCAACTTGGTCGTGTATAGGTCGCATCACGGATCACCAGTGTGGGACGTCACCTTTGCGCCGCTCGGGTACTACTTTGCGACCTGTTCGATGGATCGGACTGCACGACTATGGAGTACGGACCACATGACCCCACTGCGCATTTTCGCCGGCCATTTGTCGGATGTGGACTGTGTGCGTTTCCACCCGAACCACAACTACCTGGCCACAGGCTCGAGCGACAAGACCGTGCGGCTGTGGGACGTGCAGTCTGGTAAATGCGTCCGGGTGTTTACGGGCCACTTTCGTGGCGTGCAGTGCCTTGCGTTCTCCCGCAACGGTCGGTATCTTGCAAGTTCAGGCGAAGACCAGTACATCAACATTTGGGACCTGCACGCTGGCAAGCGCTTGGAAACCCTGATGGGCCACAAGGCTATGGTCACTTCGCTGGATTTCAGTCAGGAGAGCACGATTCTAGCAAGTGGTGGCATGGACTCGACCGTGCGGCTTTGGGATATGAAGGCGCTTGCTGAGAAGCCCACGACGTATTCAGCGCTTTCAGGCGCGATGAGAAAGTTACACGTGAGTGCATCTGATGCAGGCGAGCGGAACGGCAGCACTCGACTACCTGGTCGAAGTCGGTTTGTCAAACCCATGTCAGTAGTACGGCAAGGTGCAGTGCAGGAATTGCCCTCGTCGCGTTTCCTGCTCAAAACACTGCGTTCGAAGCAGACGCCCATGTATCGTGTCCACTTTACGCCGCGCAACTTGTTGCTGGCTGGCGGTGTGTTCCAGCCCAAGATGGAGACATAGCTGCTAGCGTTCATGCAAGCACAACCACGTGCGATTGATTTGTTACCGGATAGAACCTAACGCACGCGGTCTGCTGCCTCGCGCGTCAACCTCGACTGCTTTCGCACTCGTTGGCGTACTCTGCTCTCCGTTCTGCCCTCCTGCTTACCGCCACCTGCTCGATGCCTCGTTCTCAGCACGTCCCTACGCTGCCTTCCGACTGACAAGAGCTGCTACGGCCAGCAACAACACACTGGCGGCCGCTGCAAGTCCTGCTGTCTGATACGTTGTGACCTGCAGCTGCTTTTCCAGTGCATCGACGCGCTCGAGCACGCTACCGAGCGAGCGAGCGGCATACTTGCCCAGCACGTCCGGTTCCAGGTTCACCTGGTCGCCCACGTGCTTGAGCGGGAGCGTCACGTGCTGCTGCGTGTACGCGATGAGCATGATGGAGAACCAGCCGTTCGCGCGGTCGACGTCGCACACTGTGAGACTCGTGCCGTCAATTGCCACGTACCCTTTCGGCAAGAGGTCGCGCAAGACAGCCGCGCAAGTCGAGATCTGGACCCAGAGCGAGTCGTTCTCGCGCCGAAAAGACCGGATAGTGCCTGTGCCGTCGACGTGGCCCTGGACAAAGTGGCCGCTGTTGCGGGCGTCGATGCCCATACTGCGCTCGACGTTCACCTTATCGCCGGGAGTGAGCGCGCCCAAGTTCGTCCGCCGCAGCGTCTCGGGGGCGATCCCAAACGTCACGCGTCCAGTTGGGCCCTCGCCCTCGATCGCTGTGGCGGTCAAACACGTGCCGTTGATCGCGATGCTGCAGCCTTCGTACGCGCCGTCCAGCGCCTTCGTCACGACCACGACCAGCTCAACGCCTGCGCTGCGCTCGCCGTTCCATAGTAAGAGGTCCGCGCGCTCCCGCAGGGACGCGACCGCGCCGATCTCTTCGACGATGCCGGTGAACATGGTCCGACTTGTGTGGGCTCGCGTTCTGATTGGCTCGCGCGTGCGACGGAGTGATTGCGTGACGGAGACCGTGGGAGTGTGTGTGTGGGGGGGGGGAGGCAGCCGTCGTTAAGTACGCAGGGGTTCGCCGAGCGACAGATTGATGCGCCCGACCGTGTGCAGAGTGTGCGTTTCAAGGTTGGAAAGTGTAGGATCGATCATAGGACCGGGAAACACAGGACCGCGGGCGCTCGGGCCGCGAGTGTGCGAAACGAAAAACGAGGCAAAGTTCGAGTGTCTGTGCGTTCGCGTGTGGCGTTCGTTGGTCGCTTACTTGGCGCAGAGCTATTCGAGATCGAAATACAGACCCAACTGCTCTCGTCGAGATGAGTGGGGGTCGACAATGAACGTCGCTGCCAAACCGATCCAGCGCGTGGTTTCCTTGCTAGACGTAGTCAACTTACCCAAGTTGTCGTCTGCTTCGACTTGTCAGCGGTCGGTGGCGAGCACGGACTCGTTTTCATCGCACTAGTGACCATTTCCACTGCGCTGCATACTTTGCTGTGGTTGTCTCTCGAGTCTTTGCTTCCAGCAGACCCACTTCGCCGTACAGATCCACTGTCGAATCCGTATTCGCCCATCGGCTCAAAGGCGGCCCTCATCATCTTTAGTCAGTGTTGCTCACGTCTTGACCGCTCGCTGCTTAGCAGCATCCTCCACAATACGTGTCGATGCCTGGCATTCGGGCAGGGCCAACCTGAACTTTGATCGCACGCAGTCGGCCGTTGTTCCGCGCTGCTTCCGGGCCGTTTTGCCAGATCAAGCGGTCGGACGACGTCACGGCCTCCATGAAAAAGAGCTGGTGCTCGCCCTGTGCGTCCGTGCCGAGTTGGCACGCAAACACAGACTTGGTGATCCCGTTGGCCCCAAAGCCCAGCACGTCCACGATCTCACCGCCTTCTTTCACGCGCACGAGGCCCCCTCCAGTTGGAAAGAGACCGGACTGGACAACGCTGGCCCAGACGCACCCTTCGGCATCGAGCGCGATACCGTCGATGGGGGAACCCACGTCTGCCCACACGCGTCGGTTGAAGAGCCGACCGTCCTGGTCAATGTCGTAGGCCGTCAGCCGCCCTTCAAACGTCTCGGCAACGATCAGCGTCCGGCCGTCCGGAGTGATCACCATCCCATTCGGGAACACGACACCTGTTGCTTCGACGCGGACTGTGCCGTCCGTGCCAATGCTGACGATGGCCGAGCTCCGAATGGACTGCAGTCCGTCAAAGTGGAAGCCAAAGCTGCCGACGTAGGCGCGACCCGAGGTCGACACGACCATGTCATTGGCCCGGACGTGCGTCACGTCCTTGACGTCGGCATAGACCGTTGTCGTGTCAGCGGCCTCGTCGTGGACGAGCACTTGTCGGTTGTTCATGGACGAAATGAGAAGTCGGCCGTCCGGTAGCCAGCCCAGGCCCGAGAGCAGGTCGTCTGCGTCGTGGTACACGACCGTCCGGTCACGCGTTGCAAGCGAGTACTTGAGCACCTTCTTGTCCTGCATGTCGGTGAAGTAGAGCTCGTGGGTCGAGAGGCGAAAGCGCGGGCCTTCGCCAAAGACAATGTCGTCCAAGAGCGTGTGGGCCCGCGAAGCGGTCCGTTTGGCCCAGAGCTTGCGCTTCATGCAGTAGCCCAAGAAGCGGAAGGGGAACACGAGCATGCGGACATTTGGGGCCACTTTCGGGAACAACAGCTCCTCTTGCGCTTGTTTGCTCGTGTCAATGGCCGTGAACGAGGCCATTGCAGACGATGGAGAGGGAGGGAGTGACGACGCTCGGGCTGCACCGGTCAACAAGACGTACGTTTTGTTGATGTACTTGTTGTTTGCGGCGGCGTACCGTTGTTACTACTATCTGCTGCTGCTGCTAACTGTTGTGACTGCTAACTGTTGTGACTGCTAACTGTTGTGACTGCTAACTGTTGTGACTGCTGTGACTGCTGGTGCGGTGGCTCTTAGGCATATCGTCCGAAGAAGAAGGAGAAGGAGAAGGAGAAGAGCAGGTGTAGGACAATGTCACAACGTGGAAAAGAACGTGCGCGTTTTTGCAGTTGAGATCGGGCTCTCTTCCCCGTCGGTTCAAGAAAAACTGCTGCGACTTGCAACGCGACACGCACTCGAGTGCACGCTAAGGAATCTCACAAACGCGACGATGGGGAAAAACGGATCGATGGAGTAGTCGCTTCGTCTCTCCGTACCGCACAAATGACCGACCGACAGACAATAACGTCATGGAAGTTGGTCTGTCTGTCGGTCTGTCGGTCTGTCGATCGGTCTGTCTGTCGGTCGGTCTGTCTGTCGGTCGGTCTGTCTGTCGGTCTGTCTGTCTGTCGGTTTGTTGGTCATTCGGGTCTGTCCGTCTGTCGACCACCGCACGACGTCTTCCCATTCCGTCTCGATGATCGTCTCTCTCTCTCTCTCTCTCTCTCTCTCTCTCTCTCTCTCTCTCTCTCTCTCTCTCTCTCTCTCTCTCTCTCTCTCTCTCTCTCTCTCTCTCTCTCTCTCTCTATCGACAGTCGTCTGTGCGACGGGAAGCTCACAAAGTGTGACTGCCAATATCCTCACTCCGCAGCCTCCACATCATTCGTGGACTTTACCTCTCACTCGACAGCCCGCAGAGAAGTACGTATAGCTACTGCCGCTCAAGACAGTGTGCTCGAGCCAGCGAGCGCTCTTGCCACGTCACCAGCTCCTGCGGCTCCCAACGACGCAAAGACGGCGTCTTTTGTTGCCACGCGTTGAGATCAATCGGGCTCGAGCGAAACGGGTTACTCGTGGAAGACCGCCGTCGTCACAAACGTCGTGTGCAGTCGATCGCCTGCCCCGCCTATCGACGTCGCTCCGCCTACGACGACGATGGCAATGCCGCCGTTCGTTACGGCCGCAGCTTCTGCGTGAGCTGTTGCGAGTACACGTGTGCGTGTCGTTCAACCCGACGAACACTGCACTCGTCGCAGTCCTCTCCCAGTCGCCAACGCTTGCAAACGGACCGAGAACACTCTGCACTCGATGCTCGACAGCCAGACAGCCTGCCATCGCGTTTCTTTGCGCCGCTTTTCGGTGTGGCACCGACCCGTCGTACTATCTATCGCGTGCGTCCGTCTCGCTGTTGTCGCAGTTGCTGCGCGCTCCGGTCGTCAGCTTGCGACGTACCGGTGGCCGTCGAGGCCGTCGAACTCCGTTGTTTCGTTGCCATTACTTGTGCCGAATCGAGTGTCGACGTCAACACACTCGACGTCGCTGCTATGGTCGTTCGACGTGTGCCAGGGGGCACCACAGGCAGACAGTAAGTGCCGACTGTTGTCTGTCGTTGATCTACAGCCCCTTTCGACCGTGCAACAGATGCAGGTCGCCGAGAGCTCTATCGGCGCTGCTCACCACGTCCAGAGCCTTTCGAGAAAGAGAGACGCCGTGCCGCTGCTTCAGCTGTTCCGTGGTCGGACCTGTGGCCATCACGCGTTCAATCTTTTCCGGTGGTGCGTTGTCGCGGGGGTGGGACACAAAGGCCCGACGTTCGTGGCGACGCGGCCCACGCACGCCACGTCCATCAACAGCCGTACGACTGTCGACAATTCCGTTGTCGCTACGTGAGACCGACCACCCGCCATCGCCCGTCTCGTGCGTAACGAACGCGACTCGATTGCGTATTCCCAGCCCCCCCCTCCCACGTGACGCTTTCGTTTTCGCTCGACACGGGTCGTGGAGTTGACCTGTTTCGGGCAGCAGCTCAGCGCACGTGCGAAATCGATGACAAAGGCACTATACCTACGTGTCGGCGGCTCCTGCACACGTGTCAACGTGCTGTAGAGAGCTTAGCTGTTTGTTAGAGCTGTACCAAGCGGCCGACATCGGCCTGGACACTGTCCTCTACTGGGGAACGCGAGGACGCAAACCTTTCGGATCGATCGGTGTCTCTCGGTGCGTTGCAAAGGAATAAATGGCTCACGGACGACGTCTCACGATACGCGAACCCGATCACACGCGTCAGTGCGCTACTCGACGGCAGAAGGCGACCCGACAGGACGACTCGCTCTCCTATCAGTAAAACGAGACACGCGTTCCTTACGCTTCGACAACATCGCGGGAGCGCTCGCGTGTCGAGAGTAATCGAGTGATACGAAGGTGGCGCGTCGATACACACAGAGGCAGCCGACCCCACGGTGTGCACCTTCCAACTCGACGCCACCCGTTCGGTTCCCATCCTCTTGTCAGGCTCAAGAAGACAGTGTCGAGTCGCCGCACACGCACTCACTGCCAAGCGAGACGCGTCTTGCTCATCCAGCGGTCGCCCGTGCGAACCCTCTGTTCCACACGTCCCACGTGCAACAGCATCGCTGCAATCCAGCGAGCTCTGCAAACGGGAGGCAGGTGACCGACCGATCGCCCACATGCCGCTGGGAGATCTCCCGCATGGATCGAGGGAACTCCGATCCCTCGGATCGATCTCTGCTCGGGAGCAGACCCTTCTTGCTCGCTCCAGGCCACCGCCGTCGCCACATTGACGGACGCACTTGTGCTCTTCGCGCCTCCTACGCACGTCACTAGTCGACCTGCCTACACACACGCACGCACGCACACACCCACACAAAGGGTAGCAGCTATGCCAAAGCTGCCGCTCGAGAACCCGCCGTTCCCGCCCCTTTGTCTAGTCGAGAGCGACAAGGAGAGTGTCGTCGACCTGGCCGACCTGGTCGTCGCGGAAGCGATCGACGACTACGAAGTGCATTTTGCCCACCACAATGGCCACGTCGACTCGACGCAGTGGGTCCGCATCAAGCAGGTCGACGACCTGGTCGTGTACCAGGACCGCCAGGCGCTGACCCAGCGTCGCCTCTCGCGCACGAGTCGCTCGCCGCCGTCGTTGGCGGTCCCGCACAGCGACATCCTCACGCTCTTGTGGTCGGGGACGATCCGCGGCGACCTCGACGACATCATGTGCGCTGTAGTGAACCGCACGGCCGAGGAAGCAAAGGCCAAAGCGGCGTTCACCGCGAGCACAATGGTGGACTTTGCCGTGCTCGAGACGCTCGTGGACCCGAGCGCGAGCGACCCGTTTCGAGGCGTGCAAGTCAAGTGGACCGTCAACGCCGGACCAGCGCTCCTGCGGTCCGTCGTGCGCTGCCGGGACTTTGTCTACCTCGAGTCCACGGGCATGACAACCATGTCCACGGGCGAGCGCGTGGGGTTCCAGCTCCTCCATAGCGTGTCGATTCCAGCGGCCCCGGAGCTCCATCAGCACAAGTTCGTCCGGGGCAACATGACGCTCTTCCACCTCTTCCGGCAGAAAAAAGCCAACGTCGTCGAGACGCACGTGAAGGCGTTCATCGACTTGATGGGCGACCTGCCCCTCCGCGTCGCCACGACGCTCTTGACCAGTGGCATGGTCTCTGTCTCGAAGCTCGCAGAGTATGCGCTCGTGAAGAAGCTCAATTGGCAACTCGGTCAGCGACGAGAGACCGTCTCGAGCAGCCGCTCGCGGTCCTGTCATGTCTGCAGCAGCACCTTACAAGGCAGCAGCACCTTACAAGGCAGCAGCAGCAGTAGTAGTAGTAGTAGCAGAAGTTTGCGACAGCGGACGTGTACGATCTGCATGAATCGATGCTGTGCCCGCTGCTGCGTGTCCAAGAAGATGGTCTTCACGGCCCCCCGCCGTCGCGACGTGGTGCACAAGACGGCAGTCGTGTGCAAGGCGTGCATTCAGGCTGCAGTGGCCCGCAACGGCTGCGACGTCGCGCGCGAAGAGCTCTCGCAGACCGATCGACGCGCGCCAGAGTACATGTCCTGGTCGGCGGTCTCCCCGACGTCGTCGACGTCGTCAATGAAGCTATAGGGTGCAAGGGATTGGATCGGATCGGGTCAGATCGGGTCGTCGTGGTGAGCGGGCAACACGAACATGCAGAGCGTACAGTCGCGTGAGTGCGAACGGATACCGTGCGCTGCTGGTAAACACGAGACTGAGTCAGCAGAGCCGCATGAGGCGGTGCTGAGGGCCGTTGGGTTTACCTGTCGCCGATCGAGCAGAGACGAGAAGCTGCAATGAATGACCAAAGCCTTTCGCTGGTCTTTTGCTGAGCTGCTGGACACTGCGTTCATGTGGTGGTGGGCAGGTCAACGCAGCAGCAGCAGCGACGACAACAACATCAGCTTTGACGACAGGCGAAGCAGCTGATGGTCATACCACGTGCTGGTCCGTTGTCATAGAGCAGTGGTAATGGGGAAGCAAACCGACCCACCAACCCACAAACACACAAACACTTGTGCCAGCTGATGGTCTTGACTGCTTTGTCGATTAGCAACACCGCTCACGTATGTGCTTCTCGATCGCAGAGGTCGTCAATCGCTTACATCGACACACGCGACCGCCTCGTTGCACGTGACGTGAACCGCTTACTACTGCCTGCTCCCCATATTAGTATCCACGACATGGTCCATCCAGTCAGTCGTCAAGCTCGGCCGTGACGAGATCCCTGCAATCGATCGGGTATTCCATCCTCGGACTCGCTGGTGGGGTCGTCGAACCGTAGGAAAGACCAACTCTACCGTTCCCTTACTGCTGTCGTAGCTTCACCTAACGTTTCATAGCTTTCGTGGTAGCGACAGACACCGCCTTCTTGAGCGGCCGTTCCGTCCCTCGATCGTAGTCGATCCACCGTTCCTTGTCGTCCATTCCCATTGAGACGGAGTTTGACCCGTGCACCCCAAAGCGCATTTGTTGTCTGTCTGTCTGTCTGTCCTCTTCTTCGCGTACCAGACGGAGCGATCTCTACCAACACGTCACACGCAATGGCCCAAAGGTCTGCGACTCGAAGTCTTATCCCCCGCCCCGGGTCAGGACCGACGCTCGATCGCCTCTCTCGAAACTGCTCCAGTCGGCCACTTCATCCTGTCCTGCCACTCACCTCAATCCATCGATCCATCATCGACCGGTTGTTCAGTCGAGCCCAGCTGACCCTCATCGACAGCTTTGCTCTCGTCTCTCTCTCTCTCTCTCTCGCACATGCACACACATGCGCGCAAGACACTTGACTTGCTGTGTCCTCATTGTGCCTATTGCCTCGTCCTCGTCACGTTTGCCACTGCCTTCAAAAGCCCCACACTGCCATGAAGTTCCCCTTGCCAACGTGTCCGTTCCAGCCCCTCGAGCTCTCGGACCGAGACAAAGGTGCGCTCCGAGCGCTCTCGGACGACATCTTGGCCGAGACAATGGCCGAGTACGACAGCATGCTCCTGTACGAAAACGGCGTCGTAGATACCGAGCGGTGGAAGCTCCTCAAGCGCAAGGAGAACCTCGTGGCGTACCAGGACCGCTGTGCCCTCGCAGTCACGCTCAAGGCTTCGCACAGCATGACAAAGCCTATGTCCATTGATGGCAGCACGGACGACCCCGTGTCGCCATTGCGGTCGACGTCAAGTCCACTGACGAAAGCACCAGCTCAGCGAGTGCTCTGGCACGGCACACTGAACTGCGACTTGGACGACCTCATGCTCGGCGTGGTGAACCAGAGCGCCGACGTGTGGAAGATCAAGTCGTCGTACGTCGAAGACAACGGGTTGGACTACTTTCTGCTGTCTTCGCTCACAGAGCGGTCGGCGGCCAACCCCTTTGACGGGCTACAGGTCAAGTGGACCGTCAACGACATGGGGCCGACCATGGCCAAGTCGCTCATGCGGCCCCGGGACTTTGTCTTCCTCGAGAGCACGGGCATCACGCACTCACCCGCGACGGGCGAGCGCATGGGGTACTACATTTGCAAGTCCCTCGAGCTCGCCGGGGCCCCTGAGCTCCCCGAGTACAAGTTAGTTCGGGGCAAGATGGAGCTCTACCACCTCTTCCGCCTCAAGAGCAAAGGCGTTGTCGAAGTGTATGCACGTGCGCTCTGCGACCTGCGCGGTGAGATGCCGAGCACGAGTGTCTCGCTGTTCTCGGCCGAAGCCATGTCGACGCTGTCGCTCACGGCCGCATTTGCCGAGCGGCGGAAGGTCATGTGGCTGCTCTATCGCATGGAGCCGTGCGAAGGCGGGAAGCCGTCGTTCGACCTCTGCAGCGTCTGCACGAAGGACCTGAGCAAGAGCTTACTGCCGTTCATGAACAAGGCCTGTCGGATCTGCTTTGGCCGCATCTGTCCGCGCTGTCGCATCCCAAAGAAGCTGAGCTTCCTCAGTCGACAGACGCGCGGCGTGATCAAGAAGAGCATTGACGTGTGCACGCGATGTGTCCATACGTCTGCGCACATGAGCGCTGTAACGGTAGCGCAAGGTGAGTTATCGCTGGACAACCCGACCGCTCTGCTGTATGAATCTGCCGCAACGCAGAGCTTGTCGTACATTTCGCTGGTACCGTTAGGGTAGTGAAGACAGGTTGTTGATGTTGTAGCTGCTGGTCGAAGTAGTAGAGATTGGTGCAGGACGAGTAGTGCATCGCTAATAAGAAGTATGTATCCACAAGCTGAGGTTGGACGGGAGAGAAGGGTATGACTATGTTCTTGTGTGTGTGTATGTGTACGTGTATGTATGTGTACGTGTATTTCGGGACCACTACTCCGTATCGATGCAGGTCAGTGCGTAGTGCCGTCGATTGATTCTTTGTGCTTTTTCGCATGGAGATGTATGTATGTATCTTTCAGTGCTCGAGTTGCCTGTCGGCGGTCGGCTATTGCCCGTCGCTCGTCAGCCTTCTTTCGCTATTCCTAGCAACACCTGCGACCGTTTTCCACATCGTGTCATAAGAACTTCGTTAAGTCAGCAGTGCGGTGCTCTTGAGCTGACGTTGCGTTGACAGTCGATGGATTGCCGTTGGAAACGTTCATATGGTCGATCGATCCATTTCGTGGACACGCAGTGATGGATTACCAGCAGTCTGGACACACATTGTCAACTGACAGCTGCAGGCTGCAACGGCGCAACACAGCGACACTTTGTATCCCTCTCTCACGAGCAGCACATGTACAAAGTTGTTTTGCAGCCACAAGTTCCTAGTCACCGGCAACAGGAGCTCCTGGAGTGACAGATGTACCGCACAAAGCGACTGTTGCAATCGAATATGTTTTCGACAAACACCTGTACGATCCATGTGCAGACTCAGCTCACACAGAGTCAATGGCTTGCGGTGAGAGATCTCTTGCTAGTAAGCAAAACTCGATCGAGGATCGTCAATCGAGCATCAATGCGATGCCTTGTTTCCTTCTTTGCTGCGTCACGAGCTGCAGAGCTTTTGATGTTGAAGTTGTTGCTCTACTGCAGTGAGGTCCTGCTCGATATCTTGACATGTGCAGGACAAACCTGCTAACAAGTTTAGCCATCTGCCGGTGCTGCACTGCGCGACAAAAGCATCTTGTAAGATTGATCAGAAGAACCCTAGTGGATTACATATCGCATGCTGAGGTGAATCACCACATAACGTGTTGACATGGCAAGACTTGACGTCACCTCGTTATCCTGACTCAGTCCAACGTCCTGCTCTCGTCGTGATTGCAGGGGACGAAATTGACCACTTCAGCTGCAGCCTGGACAATTGTGCAGCGAATCGTGCACGTACAAATCGCACTCGCTACAGAACACGCGCTGGCACGTAGCACACTCGTACGCCGCGCCTTCACCATCGAGCCCTAGCGGCAGCAAACAGCCAAAACACTTTTCCTGGACCAACGACGGCGTGACTTTCGCGCCCTTCTCGCCACTGACGCCAGACCGCAGCAAGTGCTGTGTGAACTTTGCGACGGGAAACAGGTGATGGTACGATCGTGCCAAGTGCGGCGACGATACGAGCGGCAAGTTGCACACTTGGCACGTCGTGGGCAGGTCGCAGCTCTTGGACTTGCAACGTGGACACAAGTACCCGACAGTGGTAAACGCCTGATGGCAAGTGCAGAGAGACAGCGCGCCACTACGACGCTGCGGGAAGCCCATTTCCACCAACGTGGCAAAGCGCGAAGCCGCCGTCACGACCGTCGGCGATGGAAACGTAAACGCTGTCATGAGCTTCTTCATATGTTCCGCGTCTACTGCAACATGGTACGTGCCGTCCGTGCCGTCTGCAATGCGACGCAGCAAGTGCATCTCGGCGCCAATACCAACAAACGACACGCGAACGTTCTCGCGCTTTAGCGACACCAGCGTCTGGAAAATGTCGCCCGGGTCAGCAGTCACCAAATTGCCATACACGACAACCACTTCTCGACTGCCGTAGGCCGGCACGGTCTTCAACGAACTCCTCGCCAATTCCAGAGCATTTTGCAGCGACGGCTCCGTCTCGACGGCTAATGCCGCCGCAATGCGCTCCATGTGCGTCTTGGGGTTCCCAGACAACTCACTCAGCTTCTCGGCCGTCATGCCTTTCATCCCAATGACACCCAATTGCGAGATCGGGTTCTGGTCAAAGTAGTCCTTTACAAATTGCTGCAACGCGTCACGCGTGCACGCCAAGCGATGGGGTTTCCAGTCCTTGATGGCCATCCCGCGCGATAAGTCCATGATCACGTACGTATACCGAATCAACCCCTTGCGCACATTCCGAGCAATGTCCAGTCGCCTAGCAATGGGTTCATTATAGAATTTGGTCCACCCATCGATGCATATAGTTCATTCACAAACACACAAACACACAAAAAAGGGTAAAACGCTGAGTAATACCGACACCAAAAAAAGAGTGCAAACACCTCTCGACAAAAAGTACTGATTTAGCAACAACGCATCCCACAACCCACCGCTGACGCTGCTGGTTCGTCACGGCGTGCTCGATCCGGAGGTTCCCCGCGTCGTCTTCTTCAATGACGTCCCAGCTGCGCTCGAGCGCGCCTTCCCACGCATATCCAGACGACGCTAGTGCCACAACGACCAACAACAACAGAGTCAATCGGCTGTACGACGACCTTCGAGAGAGAGAGACGCGTCGGTCTAGTCGTCCCCTTACCTTCGTCCTCCATGTGAATTGGGTCCGTGTTTTGTACCACAAACGAGGTACCGGCACAAAAACAACCAAAACACAAATGAAGCCATGTGGGATGTAGCCATGTCGAAGAGCGATACGTACATGGCTACATACATGACTCGCTGATGGTATTGACGTTGAAGTGAACAGTATGGACACAAGGTACTTGCGGTATAATTTAACTGGGAGCACACCCAAGCAGCGACGACTTTCTTCTTTCTTACACGCACGGGACTGCGTCAGACGAAGAACGGCGCAGCGCTGCGTGCTTTCGCCGAGTCGAGACCCTCAACTGGACTTTCACATACGGAGGAGTACGCGACCGACGGAGAAAACGACGAAGAAGACGACGACGCGGACGATGAAGACGACGACGGCTCCATTTCTGCCGTACCGAGTGAAAAGACCGACAAGTGCTGCATGTCAATGGAGCACCGATCGCGGTGCTTCCTTGTCCGAAACCCCTGCGACGCAGGGGCAGTCGAAACATGGCTCGAGCCGCGAGAAAAGTGGCCACTGGCGTCTCCATTGTCGCTCTCTAGCTGCGCGCTGTTGAAACTCGAGATGCTCGTGTTGTTGCCCTGGGTGCCAAACAGCTTTTCACGTACGAACTCGGCGAGTCGAGCAGCGTACTCAATGGGAGGCACGGCACTGACATCGTGGAGGTCTTTGCAGCACAAGTAGCCCAAGAACCAGCGCTGGACGGTCCAGCGCCAGTTGTAGCGCTGCAGCATGTCGACGATCCCAACGTAGTAGACCTCTCTCTGGTCATGCGACAAGAGCCCGTTGGGATACATGTCCGCTTGCTCGCCGTCGTGCTTGTACCGGACCCCGAGGAGGATGCTATAGTCGATGATCCCGCGACTAGCGAGGAACACGACGTCACTGCAGAGCTGGTCTTGCTGTGCGGCCGTGTGGGCATACGAAAGCGACATGCCCGAGCTGAGTTTGAGGAAGTCAATGTCCAGCAAGAGCTGACTAATGGCCTTCCTGTGCTTCGCAGCGTGGATGAGGCGCTCCATGCCTGTAGCGCTCACTGCTCGACGTCGGTCGCGATTGCCTTTGAGGTCAAACCGCTGGTCCACAGCGCCTTCGTTGAACAAGTTGTGCATCACGACAAAGTACATGCGACGTTTGCCGATCGGCAGTGAGATCGAGTGGCAGCCATAGTAGCGACACAGCATCGAGCGCGGATTCGACTGCAAGTACTCGTGGTAGTGTGGCCTGCGCGGCAACAAACGACAAGTTAGCTCCAAGAGCACCGTTGGCATGAACGTCAAGCGACTTACAAGATGGCTCGCAGGGTATCAAACTCTTCTTTCGGTACGCTCTTGACCATGAACTGCTTGTTGGCTATTATGAGGGACACGGGAACAAACGAACGAGTGTTAGTTGCGTGTTGTGCAGTCAGGTGTCCTGCCAAGCAGCCAGCAGCACGTGAGCGTACCGGTGAAGTAAAAGATGTTGCCGCTCTTGCCTTCCGACCCGTGTTCGCTCAGGATGCGCGACGGATCGAACGACTCGCGGTAAAAGTCCTGGTCAATGTCGAACTGCGCCCGGATGCGGTGGAAGACTTTGGGCGCACAGTCGCGGAAGTTGAGCATCGTGCTGTTCTGCATGCCGTAGACCACGACGCCCATGCTCTTGACGTCGTTGTAGTCGTGGAAGTCAATGCTCGAGTAGCAGCAGCAGCTCTCGCGACTGCGACCGTCGGCATGCAATCCGACCGCTTGTTCCGTGTCCACTGATCCCGTGCGCTCGGCACTGGCACTGCAGTCGTGGGCGTCTGCTTTGTCAGCCACCTGCGCCATCTCAATCGACTTCATGATGCCCAACGACATGTACCGCATCACGTCCGTGCGGAGTTTGTTCGACACGTCAATCTCTTCGCTCGGGTTGCTCAGAGGGACCGACAAGATGGCACCTCTCGACGACGCAGTCAGATCGACTGCTGCTGCTGCATCATCTCCTTCAGCGTCAACGTGGGAGCCAGCAACTCTCGATGCACTGCTGAGACCGTCGTTTCGGTGATCCATTGGCGGTCGAAGGACGCCCACGTCCCAGCAGAAGAGCGCAAACACTTCCAAGGCCTCGAGCACGAGCGCGAGCTGATCGAGTGTATTGGGGATCCGTCTGCCAAAGGCCGAGCCGAGCTGCACGAGGTACACGACCAACGCCACCGTCGTGTGGACTGCAAAGACGCCCAAGTACGGCAATATCCGCTGGGCCATGCGCCTCGTTGTGGCATGCGCGTGCGTCTCGAGGATCCGTGCGCGACGCCAGGCCTGGACAAGGCCAAAGCCAATGTAGACGAGCGCGAGGTACGCGGGCATGTCAAAGTAGAGCACGACGTTGGCCGTGGCCGTGTCGTGGAACGCTCCCAGCACGTAGCGGAAGACGAAGCAGTAGAGCACGGACGCCGGCCACGCGTACACGTGGTGCTTGACGTAGTCGGCACTGAAGGGCAAGAACGGGTTCGAGAGCGAGAAGATGAGGTCGAGTGCGAGCATGAGGAACCACAGCGTCGTGGACGTGTTGAAGAAGAAGTAGCACCAGAAGAAGAACGGCACGTAGGGCTCGAGCGGTCCCGTGTCGTGGCCGAGCTCTTCGTTCGCCACACGGCTCAGCGTGGCCGGCAGCAGCAGTTGCATCTCGTCGACGGTATCAGCTGCAGCAAAGACGAGATGCCACGCGTGCAGGCCGACGCGCATGACGCTCGCAATGGTGGCGCTCAGGAAGATGGTCAGCAGGACCGGCCCCGGGTGCAGCCGCGAGCTCGGGCACTTGATTACGACGAGGACCATGGCGCCCATGGACAGCAGACCGACGGTCAAGGCCGTGAGCTGCCACGCGAGGTACAGGTCGCTCATACCGGTTGCAGGGAGCCGTCAAGTACGGAACAAGTGGTCAAGTCGCACGTAACGGACGCACTGCAACAGGACGCGAAGAAGACCACGTGCGACTCGCTACGGAACGGCTCGAGTTGGGCACGTGCGAAGACGCACTGAGGACCGCTGGCACGAGCGAAAACGCTTAATGAAGGCGGCAGTAGGTGCCAGTGCGACGCTGAGCGGTGTTGCACTGGCTGATAGCTCAACTGCTTTGGATGGCCGCCACGACGTGCGCTCGCGAGGCGTTTGCGTGTGTGCTTCTATTTATATGACTAGGAGCTGTCGGTTGAGAAGCTCTCGCCGCCCTCTTCTTTTGCTTCTGCTCCACTCGATGCATTCATTTGGAATGTCTGTGCGTGCAATGGAATCGACGACGACGGACGTGAGGGCGTCTCGACTTGTTGGGGATCTTTGATTGTGTTTGCGCCTGTGACGTTGAAGCGGCGGACGACGACTGGACGACTGACTGTCCGTCCAGCGCCAGAGTCTCTGCAGCTGACTTCGAGGCTGACGCTGTACCACGCAGTGGATCATGTGCAAAGTGTGGGTTGAAGCGGCGGGGCACGTGCTGGACGGAAAGCCTGCGCGTGCACACGACAGGCGAGTTCAGAGCCGCCCGGACGCGTCAACTGGAGACTGCTGGACGGTAGGGAAAGTGGGAGTTGATGCAGTGGCTTACCGACGACACTGAACACTTGTGTGGGTACGATAGAGGAGAGGAACGGACGATCTCTGCAGGTCGCCCTTCGATACCGTGATTGAGGACACTGAACCGGATCACGCGATGGATCTTCACGTGCTCCTTCGGATGGTCAGTGGTGGCCGCTGTGGAATGGATCGGCCGTTGTGACGCGTTGTGGCGACAGTGGTGTCGTTAGGACATAGGAACTCGTTGGCGCTTGTACAACGTCAACAACGACGATAGGAACTGAGGTGAGATGAAGTTGATTGAGATGGAGGACTACGGATACAGAAAGCGTCACGCGTGTCAGTGTTGACTTCGTAGCGCAACTCTGTGATTGTCAAGAGGTGAGCATGACGTCCAGTTTGATTGATGATGTCGACTGCAACATCTCTCTCTCTCTCTCTCTCTCTCTCTCTCGTTGTGTGTCTTGACAAGAGGACGGCTTGGCTCTGAGAACCGATTGCCACTGCGCGCTCAGCTCTTAGATCTGCAGAGGTAGATAGGGAACGTCGAGAGAGCGAAATCTGAAGGCGCAGACTATCATAGTCCACTTGCGTTGATGCTGCATGTCCTCGACGAGCAGATATAGCGGTCACGCTCGAAGAGGAGGTCTACCTGCCACAAGAGCTATACGCACGATCCATCTGACAACATTGTTCACTCTTTGACGTTTCTGCGACCTCTGACATTTTTACAGACAGCAGCAGTAGCAACAGGTTCGCCAGTTCTGACAAGTGCTGTTCGAGAGTTGCTACTTGTTCAGCTGCGGCTAATGGTAGTGCTGACCTTGTTTGGCTGGAGGTGCGAGACCTGCGCTGTCTCAATGCAATGAGCTCCTTTGCTTACTGAAGCTAATCGATGTCGACCGTTTGAAGCCAATGGCCTTCATGCGTCCTCGCACGCCACTTACTCATCGACAACGAGTAGCTGCTACAGGAAGTTCGGCTTTGACGTTTCACCCACTCACTTGCACTGCTCGTCGTGCCAATGAACACCGACGCGGAAGTCCATGTAGAAGAACAGCATCGACGTCTCACAAACTCCTTCCGAGTTGCTGCCACTTCCAATCCGAGCGATAAACCAGTTGCAATACAAAGCGCTGGAGAGCATCGGAGCGCACGAGATCGTCAAGCGTCTGACCGGCACGTGACTCATGACGGCACATGGCAACCGCTTCGCCCGTCACACGTCGAGTCGGCACAAAGAACGAGCGCTGGGTCGTCCGTCTCCACGACCGCGTGATCTGCTGCGGCCACAAATGCGCTACTGTTATTTCCCGCGTTCTCCATTGTCATACGGTCCTTGACGCACTGCGCAATGCGACCCAACTGACCGATCGATTCAGTGACTGCCGTGACCCGCTTTCGCCGTTTTGCAAGCGCGTTGTCAACTCCGTTCTTCGACATGACTAACAATCGAGTTTGGCCTCGGCAGCTGCTCCAAAAGGCCTTCCTCCCCACTGTCAACGCTTTGTCTCGGCATTGAGACAGTCATGGAGTCCGTCAACCCAGTCAAGTGGTCCGTCAAAGGGTTGAGGCCATCGCTGGACTATAGATATCCTTGCTGCCTTCAACGTGAGCTCATGCTGCAAGAAGCGCTGCGATGTGTGGCATCGTCTTGATTGAACGAGGTCTCCTTCATCTTGGGGACACGCCTCTCCTTTTGTCATAGTGCTTTTCCGTGCAGTCGATGCGAACATCCCATCGCGAGTTGTTGTTGTCATTGACACTTTAGCTCGGTCTCGACTTCCACCACCCAACGTGTGGTTGTGCTGCTGAAGGCGTCAACGTTGGAAACGGTGCAGCAAAGACCGCAGCGTAAGTCTGGGAAGTGCATGCGGTCAGAGTGCCAAAGAGTAGTCAAAGCACTTGGAAAGAGGTCGCAAGGTGTCTTGACAACCGGTCCAAAGGCCGCACAGGCGCGAGCGATATCGCTTCGGACGCTGACAAACGACCAGAGAGCACTGAGCCCAACTAGTCGACCACAGACAGGTGTAGGAATCGATCGTGCCGATGGAGGAGGAAAGTAGCAATGAAGACGACAGAGCTCCCGCGGGGCTGACGTTAGTCGCTACAAGGGATTTTTATTGAATTCTACCACTAAAGAGTGCGTCGTTTAGGATTTGCGCGACGGTGTCGCCATCGTCGCTGTTGTGAACGCAGCCGTCGCGATTCCGATATCGTCACCGCTACGAGAAACAACAGCGCACGAAGACGCACACGTGTGTGTGAGTGCGTGAGTGTGCGTGGGTGGGCACTACCCGCTTTGCAGGTATTACTATTACTGCAAGTGGTCGCCGAAATATCAATTGGTGCTCACGTGCCCATGTGGCATCGCGTCCCGCGCAAAGTGGACCGACTGGACCGTCTCGAGCGGCCGTTAGCATAACGCCTTCCGTCGTCCACCACAGCGTAGGACACGTTCCAATCTATTACGCTCGCGTGATGGCGCAGAGCCAGTGCGGCAATCTGTTTTCGTCGGGTCGCCAGCGGCTCCAAGTGACCGACTGACGGACTTTGGCGGCTGTCATCAGATACCGTTTGGATGCGCTCGCGAGCGACGGCGAGACACGTCGGGAAGGCAATGGACAAGAGACACTATGGGTACCATCGACGACAATCCCTTCGTGCGGTGATAGCGTTGACAGAGACCTTCAGAAGCTTCGGAGGTCCACACCACGAGGTCGATCGATGTGGCGACCCCTTTATTGCAATCGATGAACGGCCGCCTGGATCTTCCGTCGCCCGGGCGGACGACGTGGTGTCGCGACTGCTCTTCTTTGGCGCACGAGGAGCAGCCGATCCGGTCTCTTGAGGCCACCGCACAAAGATGTTACGACCCAGCGAGTAACGCATGACGAAAAATTCGTCGTGGTCGCCCATCGGTCGCCAGGCCCCAACGAGAACGGTGCACGAAGCCTCAAGGGCGACAAACGCTGAACCAGCTGATCGGCTGACAGCGCAGGTGCCTGCGTCACGTCACTCCTTCGCTGACCAGCTGATCCGATGACTGAACGATCGCCCGGGAGCTGCAGAATAAGGTCGTGCCCGTGCAGCTTCAGTCTTTTGCCCTCTCCGACTGCTTCGGCTGCTCATGTGGAGCGCCTCTCCCCACAGACTCTCTCTCTCTCTCTCTCTCTCTGGTTCTCGCGCCGGCCAAGCGAAATAATTTCACAGCGCTCTGTTTTTGTTGCAGCCGCAAATCGCACGTGACCAACGCCGGCAAATCACTTGTCCAGCTGGAGCGCCTGGTATCGATCCTTCCAACGAGTCGGCCGTTCTGATGCCCATAGCCGTTGACGACGGGGCACACACTTCCACTTGGTCGTCGTTGGTGGACGTCCGTTTCAGAGGAGGCAGTGCTGGAGACAGAAAAGTCGTCCACTTCCAGTCGAGCGCACTGCTCTATACACATCTACCTACCTACCTATCGACCGTCTGTAGATGCAACAAATGGACTCCTTCGGTCTCGAGCCGACCCAACGATCGACCTCAACATGATCACCATCACGGATAATCGAAACGCGTGCGTCGTCGCCGTCGCGGCCTTGTCCTGTACGCCTCGAGACAAAATTTCGCGCAGAATCGGCGCACAGAGGAGAAGAAAGGCCGCAATGTCCGACGACCGACAAGTTGTGGCGCGACCGCGTGTCGCCTGCTTACTACACTACTCCCTACAGTCGTATCGAACAGCAGCAAGTTACGACTGGCAATGTGTCCTGTAGCACTGGTGCCTTCTCCTCCTACCGTTCATCTTTACCAGTCGATGCGTTCCAAGCCACATGTGCTTTGCACTGGAAGGGTCGGTCCGCCACGTGCGGCGAACGTTCCGGACGCAGCGAGCGACCCATAGACGACCATCGAGTTGGCGCGTCAGCTGGTGCCGACTCTTTTGCACGCGCGGCGATGACAACGCTGTCCACGTATAGGGCCGAGCCGTGTCACTGGATCAGATCCCCGTGCCTGCGACACCTCAAGGGGAGCGCGGCCTCGGCGCGCACGAAGGGCTGGGGGGATACAATTCGGCCAAATAGCCAGCCAAGGAGCCGACCGCGGCGCGCGACCTTTTGCCGTTTAAAACATGTCCACCTCCCATCGCTGCCGAGCTCTCTTTCTCTGCAGCCGAAGAACCATTTGATTTCAACGAAACGCACGCCACCAGAGATCAACGAAGCAATCGATCCACGACCAAACAAACGAAATCGACCAAACAAACCAAACAAACCAAACAAACCAAACAAACCCAATCGACCAACAACCGAATCGACAAACCAATTGGCAGCTCACTTTACAAAAGACCGACCGACCCACGCGGACGTCGCGGCGGTCGTTTGCAACTGCTGTGTGTTGTTGTCTTTTGCTTCGCGTTCGTTCCCCACTCCAGTCGTCGCTCGCTATTGTTGCATTCGTAGTGTCACTGTCGCTATTGTCGCTGTCGGTGCTGCGATTCCACGACGACGCGCATGCCAACGACCGCGTCACTCGTCCCACGCCCGTTTGTGTGTTTCTGTGTTCCGTTCGCCGCCCCCCCCCCCACAAGTCGCAGCGCGGCGGCCACCCGCTCGAGCGTTCTATGCGCTCGTCCGACCCGTTTCGCGCCCCGTCGCGCCCCGTCCCCCACCGGCGCTGGGACACGGCCCCCCGTGACGACCGCCGCCCCGTTCCCGCGCTGTTCTCGCCCCGAGCCAAAGCACGCGACGGCCCACCGGTCGCCTCTTCGGCCGTCTACGCGAGTGAGCGCCACCGACGGCCTATGGCGAGTCGCGACTTTGCGCTTCCTGCAGTACCGCAGCCGACTGCACGTCGATGGGGCGCCCCACGTACGTAAAACTCTGTCGTCGCGCGCGCTCTCTCTCTCTGTGTCTCTCTTTGTGTGTCTCTCTCTGTGTTCTTTTTCGTCCATGTGACTGTTGTTATAGACGACCCGACAGTTGAAAACTCACTCTCTTCTTCTTCTTCTGCTGCTGCTGCTGCTGTGTGATGTGCAGCGACAGAGACGTCGCCATTGGTGTACGACGACCCGTTCCAGGCCGACTCGTCCATGGGCACGTACGGCTCGAGGCCGTCGCCAGTGTCAATTGGTATGGCGTCTCGTAAAGCAGGAGAAGCTGCACACGGGTACCGAGCGATTGACGCGCTCGACTGTCGGCCTGTGGTTCCACACTCGACGACTGAAGACTATGACAGTGCCGCGAGAGCGTTCGCGGTGGACTATGAGCTCGAGCCACAGCACAGTCAGACAGAGCTGCAGCGCTATTACGCGTCGAGGCAGTCGCTCCGAGCGATGAACGGCGTTGCCACGAGGGAACGGGATCGACGACCAGCGGGTCACCACGAGCTCTACGCGCGAGAAATGAGGGGACGCGAGGAACCGCTGGACGACGTGCGGTTCGGTGACCACGCAACGCGACTTGCGGGTCTGCCGAGGAGTCTGCCGTCCCCTGCGTCGCTGACGTTTGGACTGCTCTCGAGTGAAGCGACGAGGGACGTGCACAGTCGACGGTACCATGTCGTGTCGCCCCCGACTGCGCAGAATGCGTTTCGGTATGGACAACCGCAGTCGGCCGACGTATTGCTTGAACCAGCTACGGTGGAGATGTATCCAGCTGACACGTCGAGTGCTCGAGCGCCCCTACGACACGAGTTCACGCAAGAGGCAGAGTTTTCACGGCAGCGAACGCACCAGTCGGTACTGCGAAGACCTCCTCCTTCTTACGGTGAACATCCGACGCGCAGCAATGATATGGTAATGGCCGACAGACGATCGTCGCTCGGTCTCGACTTGTCTCGTGTCCGACGTGATCCAGAGAGTCGGCCAGTGTACAAAGACTTGGCTCTTGCGAGTCCCAGCATGGCCCTGAACGACGACTACAGGCAATTCTTGCCCAGCAGTAGTGCAAGTGCGATGGCCGGTTTATCCTCTGGTCGACTGCGGCAACACAGCCACGTGATTGCGCGGCTGCAGACGACCAAGCGACCACGACGACCCCATGACCCATTTTTGTATGCTCGCCCTGAAGACTTGGCGCTGGCACCGCAAGGACCGACCGCCACGACGGCGTGTGCTCTCACGCCTGTTGCTGCTGGTATGGCTAGCATCTCTTCGTTCTACCGGAAAAAAGACGGGGTCGAGGAGGAAACAGCTCTGCCCAAGCGCCGATGTGGACGCAAGAGCATGAACTACTCGTCCGAGCAAAAGCGCGAGCGCAATCGTGCAGCCGTGAAGAAATGCCGACAGCGGCAGGCGCTGAAACTGGAATACTTGCGGCACAAGGCTGAGTCATTGACGGCTGAGAACCATACGCTCTCGGAGATGCTAATCCAGGACGCTGCGCTGGACGACGACCAGCGCACGTCGCTGATGCGCGGCATTCAGATGGACATTTTGCTCAAGATCAAGGAAGTGTTTACACAGAGTCTGCCGAAAGACTTTGTGCTTGACGCCGACTCGATCTGGGACCTCAACTCGGTGCTGACGGTATCCATGCCGTCCCGTTGCTACTATGGCGTCGAGAGCATCAAAGACTTTTGGCGGACGTCGTTGCGCATGCGCAACAAGGGCAAAATCCGTTCGTTCTGGGCGTGGCTCTTCCGGCTTCCGCCCGGTGACCGCTTTTCAGCGTTTGAGATCCAGCCGTTCTCGCCCACGTCGAACCTGTACTTTATCTCTTGGACCACGAAATCGAGTCCGTCGCTGGCTGGCTCCATGATCATCATGTTTGGCGATGGGCATCGCGTGAGCCTCCACGTCGAGTGCTTTGGCTGGCTCATTTGGCGGTACTTGCTGACGAACGAGCCGTTTCCAGATATCTCGTTGGATTGAGTCAGTGGCGCGGCTGACAAGTGCTCGTCAGCGACTGTCTGTGTTCGCACAGTGCAGCCAAAGCGATCGACGGATGGTGTATGTGGAAACGCAAAGGCACGCACAAAGTTTACCGTTTAGATGGAAAGAGACACTGATCGCACAAGTGACTCGAGTCTTTGCTAGATCGAGAGACCGATCCAGAGACTGTTGGGAGTATTTCTCGGCCACGTTGGTGCAACGTCATTTGATGGCGGATGATCGATTACAGTGGTGGCGGGTTCCAAGCTGGAAGTGAAAATGTTTGGTGGAACTTGTTGCTGTCGCAGCCCAATGAGTTGCCTAACAAAACGAACAGATGATAGGCGTTCATGTAGACCAACTTGCTCTGGCTGGACAATTGTCTGCCGTTGCGTAAGTGTGTAATTAACATTGTACCCGGCTGTCGGCAGTGTTCCTTGCGAACAAGTGAGTCGTATCCGACTTGGACTCTCTTGTCGATCGAATGGGTTTCTCGTACACTTTTTGTTGCTCCACGTTTTGTATGCATTCTGTTTTTATCAATGTTGCAGCAGCAGTATCGATGTCGCCCTTGATACGACGACACCAGCCAAAGCTCTGATCAGGTCAACTGTTTACTTATGTCAATATGCTCCAAAGTCATTGGCAAACGCAACCGTTAAACATCGACTGCGTTGCTGTCCGTGTCCAAGAATCGAAAGGCAGAGGCACCAAAAGCTGCCACTCGTTTTAAACAATATAACAACAACAAAATGGCATTCCGGCGTTCCGGGCTTCGTGGAACGTCGTTGACGGCCTGTGGTCACGTGACGTGAAACATCGACAGGAACAGCTGCAGCTCTTTCGTGTCACTAGTCTCGACGTTCTTGCGGTCGTGCGCCCTCGCCGGTTTCTTGTTGTACGGCTCTTTTCGTCTGCTTTCCGACCTTTTCGTACACGTCCGGCGACGTGTTTTATTGTACATATCGGTCGATGCCACAGCTCCTTCTTCGTCACTGCTGTCCATGAACGTCGCTATCGCTGCAAGCTGTGCGTTCTGCCGAAAATCAGCCGGCAACTCGTCCATGAACAGAAGCGGCATCTCGTCTTCGCGCGCTGCATTCGGGTCGTCGTGCTCGGCAGTCTCCATTTGGCTGAATGGCTACTGTCATATTGCAATGTTTGCTTTCCACTGAAAAAAGCAGTCAGACATTACCTACACATGTCCGCGAACGATCTTATTGGACAAAATCAATATGCGCGTTCCGCATCTACTCTCAGAATTGATATTCGGAACCCCATCGAGTCGGCTGAGCGCTCACTTGCCGAATGGATTGTCATCGCTCTAAAAAACACGTCGATCCTTATTATCCACCACGAGGTGGAGAGTAGTACAGTAGTCACCAGAGACGGTCCGTCCAGAACTGTTCACGCTTGACTTGCCTTTAATTCCGTTTTCCAGGCGGTTAGTTGGTAGGTGGAATGGACGACACACAATGTCTGGTTAACTACTTCCGCCCAAAATGGTCTGTGGTGGATCACATCTCGTGGCTATGCTCAATTACCTGCGCACGAGAGAGACCGACGCACCACTTGCTGCTGCAACGGCTGCTGTTGATAACGTCCAGCACTCGTTACGCCTTCAGGTCCTGAGACTGGAGTCGCTTCTGTTTCTTCTTTCGCTTCTCCTTACGGCGCTGGTTGCGAGCCTTCTTCTGCGACTCGGACAGATCCGAGACGCGCCCGACGTCGTCCACACCATCGGGCGACTCGAACCCGTCGCTCACTGTCGAAGCGGATGAGAGCGGAGGCTTACTGACCGATTTCTTGCGGTGGCGTCTCTTCTTCTTCGCCATCTCTTCTGCAGTCTCGACCATGTCCTCAACCTCCTCTTCCACATCCTCGACCACCTCCTTGATCCCTTCCTTCACAGTCTCGACCATGGCCTTGGCCTCTTTTTTGACAGTCTCGACCGTCTTCTTGGCCTCTTCTTCCACAGTCTCGACCATGGCCTTGGCTTCTTCTTTCACACACTCGGTCTTCTCCTTGATCTCTTCTTTCACAGCCTCGACCGTCTTCTTGGCCTCTTCTTTCACAGCCTCGACCGTCTCCTTTGATCTCTTCTTTGACAGGGTCCGCTTTGTCCTGGGCCTTCTCTTCCACAGCCTCGACCGTCTCCGTGATCTCTTCTTCTACCACAGTCTCTACAATCTCCGTGATCTCTTCGTTCACAGTCTCCGCCTTGTCCTGAACTTCCAGTTCCGCAGTCTCGACCATGTCTTTGGCCCTCTGATGTGCAGTCTCGACCATCTCCCTGGCTGCAGTCAAGAGCGTCACCACAGACTTCTTCTGTTCCGACATCCCCACCATCTCGCTGGCCTCTTGTTCCGCAGACTCGACCATCTGCTTGGCCGCAGCCAAGAGCGTGACCACAGACTTCTTCCTGTCCGACATCTCCACCTTGAACGAGTGCGGGTCGTCCGACGTGCTCGTGATAGTCACCTTCTTATCCACCACCGTCTTCGTCGGCGACGGGCGACTCGTCACGTTTGTCTCGACGACAGTCGATCCACTCGATATGGTCGTCGTCGTCGTCTTCGTCGTCGTCGTCGTCGACGTCGTCGCCGGCGTCACTTGCCCACCTCCCTTGACCTCCTCATCCTTGACCTCCTCATCCTTGACCTCCTCACCCTTGACCTCCTCACCCTTGACCTCCTCACCCTTGACCTCCTCACCCTTCACCTGTGTCACCACCTCCTCTTCTTCCTTGACCACCTTGACCACCTCCTCCACCTCCTTCTCCACCTTAGCTTCAGTCTTCTTCTCCGCCTCCTTTTCCACCTTAGCTTCAGTCTTCTTCTCCACCTCCTTCTCCACCACCTCTTTTCCTCCATCCACCTTTGCTTCCCCGGCCACCTTCTCGTCCCCCTTGACCTGCTCTTCCCCCTTCAATCCACCCGCCGTCTCGCTCTTCTGGTTGTCTTTCCCTGCAATGTCCGTGATCGTCGACCCCCCACCCACTCCACTAGCAGCGTCCACAAGCTCCACCTGCTCCCCGTCCTTCGGCTGGACCACATCCACTGCAGCCTCCTTCTTGTCCCCCTTTTTCCCCACGGCTTTAGCCTTCACCACCTTCTTGGCCTCCCGCAGGCGCTTGTCCACCTGAAAGAACTCGCGCAGGAGCTTATTCATCACACGCGGCTGCCGCCGCTTGAGGTAAAACGCAATCACAGTCTGCAGAAACGCATCGAGTCGGGGCTTGCGCTCTTCGGGCTTGGGCGAGTAGAAGAGACTGCTCTTGGGCGGGAACTCGGCCTTGAAACTCCGCTCGGCGGTCCGGAGCTGCTCGTAAAAGGCGTAGAACTTGCGGTACCGAATCGCCAGTGTCCACGACAAGTCCTCGAGCGTCACGACGGTCGTGTACGTGTGGCACGTGGCAAAGTCAAAGCCCGTGACGCGCGCCGAGAGCGTCGCGAGCGAAGTCATGCGGACGGCCTGCGGGACGTGGCGAAGATTGGGGAATGCGACCAGAGACCGACTGACGGGTGGGTATGTGGCCAGTCTTTGGCCCAGAAAGTCGGAGACTGAGTGGCTGCGCGTGTCGACGGGATGGGGGGCAGTCGACCGATTGACTGACGGACGACGAGCAGACCGACTGACTCACTCGCTGACTATTGAACTCAGCCTCAAAGTCACGACCAAAGGCACTTCCTAACCGCACGATCTCTCGTTGCTGCCCGTCGAGCAGGTGACCTCGAGGGCCCTTTAGATTTTTCGTGGCAGCTCTTTTTTTCTGTTTCGAGGCGTAGAGTCGAGTCGGTCGAGTACGCAGAGAGGAGACACACCTGTCTGTCTGCTGCCTCCTGTCTATCTATCTACCTACGTGGCTATCTCTGCTTGCGGTCCATCTATGTCTCTCTCTCTCTCTTCCTGCATAGTCGCTCTGGGACGCAGCACGTGCCACGACGAGCGACGTGCGTTGGGGCACACACGTCCTGTAGAGACGAGGGCGCAGACGCCTTCCCCCACATACGCACACACGTGCTTGAAGTTGGCGCTCCTGCGCTCTGTCATCCATGCGGCCGATCGCAGGAAGAGAGTTCGTCGCGCGTGGGCGGCCGATTGCTTGTGGCTCGCAAGAGCAGACGACGTGCGTTTCTCGCGCAGTCGACCACGGTCAATCGACGTGCAATGACTGCGCTCCATATGCAAAGAGGTGTCGAGGCAATCGGCGATAGCTCACTGCGTTCCTCCTGAGCCCGAGAGAGAGAGGCGATGCCGCTTGGTGATGAGACAGTCAACGCACGTGCCACTCACTGTTCGTCCGGACTCGGGCACTGCTTAAGGGCTACCGCCCACGACGTGTGCGCGTGATCAGACGGCCTTTCCATGATCCGGTACGACGCCACGAACGTGACCTCTTTGCATACAGGCGAAAGTGTACATAGATGGAGAGACGCACGAGGAGCTGCTGCTGGTCGGGACACGAAGGGGACAGAGCAACACGTTGGCATCAATACCGTCATCATCATCATCATATTACTCGGACACTGGGCTTCGGTCTTCTTACATGGTACAAACGAGCAGCTCACTCACTCACTTCTTCACTCACGCACTACGGGTACGAGTAGCGACTCGTGCCAACGTCGCAGCGAAGGCTCTGGAAAAACACGGGCTGACGGTAGCGCTGGAGACGCACCTCCCGTTCCTCTTCGATGCGCACGAGCGCGGCTTTCCTCGCAGCGACGCGGGCCTTCTCTTCAGCGTCCTCGCGTGCCATAGCAGCAGTCTCTTCCGCTTCGTCCCGTGCTGCATCTTCCTCAGCTCGTGCTCGTGCTGCAGCCCTCGCTTCCTCCTCGTCTTCAGCTTGTCGCTTCTTAGCCTCGGCCTTGTCCCCTTGCTCCCCCACCTCACCCGAGCTAAAGGTGCTCAAGCGCCGAAACCACTTCACAACAGGGGCCTCCCATGTCTCCGGTCTCTCGTCGAGCTCCCCTCTGTCGGCCAGCTCTCGCTCAACTGCCTGGTCGGCTGCCTCCTCGTTCCCTCCTGCTGCAGACGGGACCGCCGTGTCTCGTGCCTGTCCCCTCCCTGCTCCGGGAGACACGCCTGACGCAAGACCAGCGGTCGTGCCTGTAGACGCGCCCGGACCCGTCGCAGACAGAGCGCCGACCAGAGACACCTCCGACGCCACTTGACGGCCAACTTCAACGTCGGCAGCGAACGGCTCGGGCGCGCGACTCTCTTCATTGTTGTCGCCGCTGCTGCTGTTCTCGAGGTAGTCGTCGTGCTCGTCCGAACTGCCTTCGCTGGCCGTGCGGTCCTCGTCGTCGGTCGCCTTGTGGACCGTCCCCTTCACGTGGTCCGACACCTGCAGGAGCTCGTCGAGCAGCGCCCCCATGCGCTTCGGGTGGCCCCGCAGGTCAAAGTAGGCGAGTGTGCCCCCGAGGAAGTCGTTCAGCTGCGCCTGCCGGGCGGCCGGCGAAGGCGACGAGAACACGCCGCCTTTCGGCGGGAACGCCACGGGAAAGTGTTTCTCAAGCGTCACGAGGCGCTCGTAGAAGCGGTGGAACGCCGTGTAGCGCAGGTGGAGCGTCCACGTGTGGTCGTCGACAGTCACTTTAGTCGCGTACACGTGACACGTCGTGTAGGCAAACCCCGTGACGTGTGCGTCCATTGTCCGCATGTCTCTCCTCGTCGGCTCTGCTCGGCGGTGCGGCCGCTCTGCTCGCGACGAAAGATATACAAAAGTGAGCACTCGCGGGGACAGTCGGCCGCCTCGGCGTCGTGTCGTGGCCGGTGGGGTCGTCGACCTCATTTCTACACACAGAGGCACTCACTTGACAGTGTCTCTGCTCGCAGTGAGGGCACGACCGACAAACCGGCCGGCCGGCCGACTCACCCACATCCACGTCCAACCCCTCCCTCCCTCTCCTTCTTCTCCTTCTTCTTCTTCTTCTCCCCTTTGCCTCAACTGAGTGCAACAGGGGCGGCACCTACACGCCGCTCTTCCTTCTCTCTCTCTCTCTCTCTCTCTCTCTCTCCTCCCATCCGACGTTCGATGCACTAAGGAGCGGCAAATCGCAATGGACCGCGACGGCAGACATCGCTGGACTTGCACTTGGATGACCAAAAAACCGCGCGTTTTATTATAACGCCCAACCTGATCGCACGACCGGGAAACCCAGCGCAGAGCTTTCCAGTCGATTCCCTGCAAAGGCACTGCATCGAGCGCAGTACTGCGTATGCGCCGCGAGGTGCGCGCTGCGTCTTTTTTATTGCGTCGGCCGCCGAGGTGACGACTGCAATGGCGGACCGGCGGCCGAACCCATTGACGGGCCACACGCTGTGGTTTGCTGCCTGCCGTCACACTCGTGTCGCACGTTTCTCGTTCCACGTTGACGCGTCTCTCTCACTCGTTGCTGCGGGTCAGACATGACGCGTCCACGAAGTTGAAGCGATCTGAGGCGCACTGAACCCGATCGCAGATGCGTCGACGCACTTGTGCGCCGCACATTCGCCGAACGGGCGCGTAACGTGGGCACGAGATGGGACGTTTCTGAACTTAGAGGTACATTAACAATACGGCCTGCAGCTTAACTGAGTGCGAACGGACCAGCACTCGGTCACGGGGTATCTATCCCCATTGACTGCGTACAACTGCGTACAACTGCGGACTCGAACCGGGCGTGACGTGACTGCCCACCGAGTCAAGAGCAAGAGAAGCCGAGTTTTCTAACTGCGACCCAGCACCACTGGTAGCAGCAGTGCGACGCAGAGGACCGCCAGGTTGGTCTTCCTCATGCAGCGCTGGCGGATAAACTGGAGCATGGACTTGGGCAGCTGGACGGTGAACCACGAATAGACGCAGCGACGAGCATCGAGTTGTTTCGGGTTCTTGGTCACTTGTGCGCCCGACAGGCTCTCGCTGGCAAACCGCTTTTCGACGGTCGTTGACGATGATAAGGTGGTGGTCGACTCGTGTGCCTCGGACTCGACAACCGACTGCTCGCAAGGCCTCTCGTACTGCAACGCTGTACACTCTTGAGGTTTCGTACAGGTCACCTCCTTGACTGCTTCCTCTGCTGCTGCTTCCACTGGTGTCTGTTGCACAGCACAATCAGTCGTGTCTTCCTGATGCATGTCCTCGACCGTCGCTTCTTCAGTCATCTTACTGTCCTCTGCAAACAAAGGTGTGGCAGCAGTAGCCTCTGCGTCATCGTCAACGGCACGTGCTTCCTCACAGTCCTCTTCAATCACACGCGTCTTTGCTTGTGCCTCGACTTCATCATCAGCGGTAGAAGCTTCTTCACGGTCCTCTTCCATCACACGTGTCTCTGCTTGTGCCTCCATAGCGTCATGCTCTTCCCGACCTGCTTCTTGATCTTCCTCCGACGCAAGTGTCTCCACTTGTGCACCTTCCTCGTCATCAGCAACTTGATCCTCTCCACAGTCCTCCTCCATCACAGGTGTCTCTACTTGTGTCTCTGCTTCATGACGCTCTCCACTGCCTTCTTCGCCGTCCTCTTCAATCGCATCGGCGTCCGCTTGTGCGTCAGTTGTTTCTTCATCAGCACCATCGACTTCGTCATGTCTTTCCACTGTCGAGACTGCCTCTTGTACATCGTCAGCAGCATCAGCTCCTTCATCGTCCTTTACAGCCTCAAGTGCCTCTGCCCCCTCTTCTTCAGCAACAACGACCCCCTCATTGCTCGCCGCAATCGTAGCTGTCTCCACTCGTACCTTCGCCTCTTCGTCAGCACCATCAGCTTCCTCACTATCGTCCGCCCCCACTGATGTCTCAGCTTCTACGTCGGCTTCGTCCTTCTCCCCTCGAGCTTCAGCCGTCTGCTCAGCCGAAGAAGTCTCCAAAGCGACTGCAGCAACAGTCGGCACCAGCTCAGCAGCAGCCACGACGTCCTCTTTTTCCTTGTCACCACCAGACCCTTTGCCTCCTCCAGCGTGCGCCTCAGCGCCTCCGCTCATAGCCACGGACTTTGTCTTGAGCTCTTCGTCTCCCTCCTCGTCCACTGTCTTCTTCTTTGCATTTGGTTCTACCAGTTCGTCCAGTCCACTCTCCGTACCCGTCGACCCGTCATCGTCGTCCTCGTGCTCCGGCGACCGCAAGTGGCCGGGGACCTTGAGCAAGTCACACAGCAGGTTCTCCACCTCGACCGGGTACCCCTTCGCTGCGTAGAACGCAAGCACTTGCTGCAGAAAGACCTCGAGCTGCTGCTGCCGCTCTTCGGGTTTGGGCGTAAAGAACAACGTGCCTTTGGGCGGGAACTCGGCGTCAAAACCCGCCACTTGCTCCATGAGCTGGTCGTAGAAGCTGTGGAACTTGCTATAGCGCAGTCCGAGGCGCCAGCGATGGCCGTGGACGGCCACTTCGGTCGTGTACGCGTGGAACGACGACCAGTAGAAGCCCGAGATGTGGGCCGAGAGGGTCTTCATAGTGAACTTCCGCTCGCAACGGACTGTGGGCTGCCGCGTATGTCGTGACGCAGAGACGCCAAAAGATAAACTGATCACGACACTGCACGACGCACGGAGCCGTTTTCTTCCAAGCGATGGGCGACGTCCTTTTTCCCAGCAAATCAGTGCGTATGGCCGATGGCGGAGCACGTTCCAAGACAGACACGACAGACAGACAGACACGACAGACAGACAGACGGACGGAGAATCGTTTTACTTGCGACATTGGAGAATGTAGCGGCATTGATGGAGGAGAGATTGGCCGGTTAGAGGCTGGTGGACGTGCGATTGCGCGAAGAAGGTCTTGCACACGTGTAGAGCGCTGGGCATACTTTATCTAGTACAGATACTGGACGATAGATATCGTGGGTAAGTGTGGGTGAGGGTGGTCGGTTGTTGGCTCTCTCGTACATGTCTCGGTGGAAAGTGAATGGGCACTTGTTGGGAATGCAGCAGTGGCGTTGCGAAAGGAGATATCCGATGGCACTCTCTTTCTCTCCACGTGTCGGCAGAACAAGTGGATGTTGCAAATGACAGAGCGAGCGATGCTGCCACTTCGGGCGCGAGCGTAAACGTCAAGACGGACGTGTTGTGTGAAAGTCCGCTCGGACGCCACAGAACGATTCGAGCGATCGGAAGAAAACGAGACGCAGTGAGCGGCGGCTGACGTTTAGGCGTGTGATTCCGCGAGCTGCGGCTGACGTTCGGGCGCGTGTCGCACTCGCTTCTGCGAAACAGATGACCAGTTGCAGAGAATTCTCTGGATGTCGTGCCCCGATTGAGTGTCCACTGTGTATTTCGATAGCGTGCGACGTTCGGGTACAACCCGTGCGAGTGCGTGACTCTGACTTTTTTTGTGGAAAATGTAAGCGTTGGGCACTGCTTCTCTAGGCCGAGGACGTGGGCCGTCTTGTGCGTCACTCGGCTGTCCTCTCCATGGACAGACTTGCGGACTCTGTCGAGTTGCTGGTGTGCCAGAGCTACGCGCGAGAAAAAGTGAGAGACAATCGACGCCAACAAGACAGTCGAGTACACCGCGCGCGAGTTTTTGCAACGACAGCGACGACTTCGGCAACGCACGCTGTGCAAGATAGACAGACCCCGTCGAAATATTGCTCATCTCTGCGGGAGATCCAATCGGTCCCGAAACTTTTGCTGCAGTGCGTTAGTTTTTTCGTGCGTGGCGCATCATCTCGTGGCATCAGCTTCCAGACAGGCCACGCGTAAGACTATTGCACGGCATCGAACGCTGTGAACAGAGCGGGCTATAAAATCGCCGAGTAACACGGATCGGAGCGACAGACGATTGCCTGCAAGATGCGTCGACCGCTCACGTGTTGACGGGCGCAATACATACCACTAAACAAGCAGCAAAGTCCGTTGCAACTACGCCCGTGTGTACTGGCAACAAAGAACCCGCGCAGATGCGTTGAGGACGTTCGACGGTGCTGTTCCGGTGGCCATTTGCTTCGTATTAGTATTCAGAGTCGCGAGAAAAGATGAGCGTGGGCGTTGCTGCTATTCTCGACTGCACGCGAGCGTGTCGCTCCCACCTTCATCTTCGTGTCCGTTGTCAATGACGGCCGTCATGTTTGTCGCAGCCAGTAGCCACGACATCAGCTACCAAATCGACAAACGGACCCGCCATGTCGGTGCACGAGGTCAGAGCAAACAGCTCAAGATAATCGGCACGGATGAATGAATAGAGTGCAAGAGACATGGTCTCACTGACACCTTTTCCAGCTGGTCCATTGACGGCACCTTTGCAATGAAACGTGGCGTCTCTCGCAAAGATTCCAATCGGAAGCCTCTGTGGCGTAATGCTGTCGTCGTTCCACGTGCACAAAAAATCGCGTGACGGAGCACGACTTGCAGCTGTCAGCATCCGCGTGGTCACTGTTGGCCTCAGCTGTCAATGAATGACCTCTTTGCGTGCCTGGATTGCTGCATCTGTGGGGCTACGACACTTGCGGCCACACGTTTGCAAGATCACGAGGATGGGCGCACTGCAACAACCCTTGGCTCTTGTTCATTCCAATGCGGCGAGAGACGCAGCGGCAGGCAAACGAAGAAACAGCACGAGTGCACGATCATCGTTGATGGTGGACGTCTGTGTCGTGGGCGGACATCAACGAACACGTGAGCAAAAGTCGAGTCACTGAACGAGTCGATCGCTTCGAACGACGGGGAAGTCCACCTCAGGTTGCACTCCCAACGCGCGATCCAGCACAGGCGGCAGCATAAGTGGTACACGCCACGTCAAAGCTGAGCTTTACGAGCTGCTTGCACCACTTGTGCTGTCGCCTGTGCTGGAAGTTGACCGGTAACAAGCTATTGTCTAGTGGCACAACAGCTCTCTTGCGTCGTTGATGCGCACGACATGACTCGGTCGAAAGGTAGATCATGACAGCAGCTCATGTCAGCAGCGCCGTCAATGAATGTAGCGTCAAGACGACAGGCGTGTCGTTGTGATGGCGGTGGGCTGACTTCGCAGGCGACGATGTAGCGTCGGCGTTCGACCATGGGTCGATTCATACGGACATGTCCAGACTTGTCACCTTCTATAATCACGTTGCTTGTACTTGAGCTCTAGAAGTCATGGTCTTTTTCGCAGCCTAAGTCCGTCATAGCTTCATACGATCGTTGCCCAACATCCTTCCTCTGTTGCTGAGCTGCATCTACGTCATCGCCAAAGCACGAATCGTGAGGTGCGACCCCGTCTGGATACACGCGTACTTTGCCATGCTTCCTCGAGCACGGCCCCTACATTCATTTGCGCACGTACAAGGACTGAGAAAGATCAAGACAGCGTACACTATCCCTCTCTCGACATCACTGCTGTTCCCAATGAGGCCAATACTACAAGTCGTTGCAGGTTATAGCTGCAGACGAAGACATCGCCAAGATGCTTTGTGTACGGCAAATTGCTTTGCTCACGGCAAGGTGCGAAACACTGTGCTTTGTCATCGAGCGAGCGCTCAATGCAGCGAAACCTGGAGTGCATGTTCACAACGGAACATCAAGATCGAGATCGCGGTGAGTGTGCAACGCTTTGCGTATTAGTGCGACCGCTGGTCCATCGAGCTGTGGAATGTAGTGTTGATCTAACGCCAATATTGTGTCGGTGGTTGTCACGGCGCCCGCTGTGAAGGCGGTGACGCAAACAAGCTGAAAGTCATCAGTCCCTGCCGACTTTGTTGACAATGGGGAATGTCTGCTTCGACAGCAAATGTCCTTGCGAAGATATCGACATTTTGATCGAAGGAGAGCCTGGTTGTTCTTTACTTCGAGACGATCGCTCTAGAGACCAGACCGAGTCACAAATTTGTGAACGAGATAAGCGATCGCCACACACGTTAGCAATAACGTCTCTACTAAGACTGCTGCTTTACAGGCCTACTCGGGTCTGCTGCTCATCAGGCTGATATGGCTCTCTGGTGCGTCATGAAAGACTGAAATTCATCACTTTATTCACTGGACGCGTCGTCGTCGTCGTCGTCGTCGTCGTCGTCGTCGTCGTCGTCGTCGTCGTCGTCGTCTATGAGACGATACATTGCGTTGACCACTTTCGGCAGCGCCATACGTGGGACAGCTTAAGTGGACTGCGGATAAGCCAACATGTATTGGCACAAGATCAAGATGACGTGTCAGCAAGTAGCAAAGTCTCTCAGTCGGTCAGTCCGTGGCCACGTGCATGGAAACATTATCGAGGACTGTCGCCACGATATACTTACACATGTGAGGAAACAGCATCGGTGCCAGGTCTGGGTATCTAGCTCGAAATTGTAGTTCGTTTGACCAAAGTAAGCCAAACTTTTCGTCCAGTGAGGGTATGGCAACATTTTACAAGCAAAATGATGGGCTCGACGACTAAATTCGTTACTATGGCAATTTTCTTCCAAACGCAAACCAATTTGGACAAGAACAAATGTGAAACTAATTCATGATAGCTACTCGCATCATGCGGATTAACGACATAGCGACTGTAGCGGAGCTACACAGCTCCTTAAGTCAGAGGAAGACTTTAACGCTCTCACGAGCAACTTTGGTTCAGAGAACCCGACTCAGAGAGTCAACAGCTCAGAGAGCTAAGGTTTTGGTTCAGAGAACCCGACTTAGAGAGTCAACAAGCTTAGGGAGCTTACGGTCCCCGTTCCAGAGGGACCAAACGATTCAAACGAATCACAGCACAGAGTGCTCGAGGACAAGCTACCTTTACAGGCGTTGCTTTTGTCCTCCCGATCAAAGACGCCTCGTGTCTCTTATTGATCAAAAGGGGAACTGAATTTTATTTCTTCTTTAAACCTAAAGAACACCATAGAACAACGTACTTAACCTAGTCACTAAGGTTCAAAGTAAAACCTCTCTAAAGATCTCGTAATCAATTGTTGACAGACATCAGTCTTCAACAATTGATACAATCACTGTGTTCTAAAATTACTTTATAGGGTACCCCCTCTCTTGTGTGCACCACACCTATCGTCTACTGCCAGTCGACGTGTAACCCCGTTACAGCGACGACATCCACCAATTTCAATTGCTCCTCTCCGTGCTCTCCCCACCTTCATTACCATGGCAGGTCGCAGTCGCTAGCGGACATGTTAGAAATGCCTGTTTAGAAACGTCTTGTCAGTCATTGTCATGTTACAGGTTCAACGGATATAATATGACGGTGACACTTGATTGGTCGAGTCCACAAACATCTTGACAGATGGTGAGACGAGGCTACGACGGTGACAGATGGTGCGACGAGGCAACGACAGTGACAGGTGTCGTGACCGGATGGTGATGGACCAGGTGGCCGGACAAGGTAGCGATATGACCGTTGGAAGACATGGCGACGGCTTGCGAGATGAGAGGGAAGACGGACGCAATCATGTAATGATAAAGTTGCAGTGCATGTTATATTATGGTGTTAGCGAACGAAGAAAACACTTTAATATATTCACTTCTACTTCTACCTCTTCGCACACAAGTGC